CCTGCCGAGTTGGATAAACATGTTACTTACAAATACTCTGTCGCACAAGGCCAACCCCCATCGAAACCGAGCTCAAATCAGAATGGGAATAATTCCGGCTCACCAGTTTGGAACGGACATACCACTAATGCTCCAAATTGGAATCCCGCGCAACTGTTGAACCCTCGAAGCATTAATCAAATCCCACAAGTTTCGCCCACCTTACCACCACATCCGCAAACAAAAGTTGCACGACCAGCACCTTCTCCTCAACCCGTATTTCAGTTTAATACCCCAGGTGGTTCATATACTCCAGCACCTCCCTCGAACCAGAATTTCAACGTGAACCCAAACTCGAATGGTCAGAATGGCTTTGCATCATATGCAACGCCGAATGGGCAGATGCCGAGCATGGGAAGTTTTGTGGATCGCATGCATAATGTCACAGATCGCGACATGGTACCTCAAAAGCGCCGAAAGATAGAAGGCTTGACGCGGGAAGGAAGCGGAGCGCAGTTTAAAGGAAGTTCTAGTGGAGGTGCATACGGGCAATATGTGAAAGACAAGAGAGTTGAGGGCCAGAACGAAGGTTGTGCCAAACAAGTGCTTGACTTGTCCATGGTGGATGATGATGATGTTGTGGTTGTCGGGAATGAGCAGGATAGGGAAGTTTGCTATGGACGTATCGAAGGGTCTCAACTCAACGCTCATCGCGTGCCAACACCAAGACCTGGGTCCCAATCACTTATTGCTGAAAATTGGCCGCAGATAAAAATTGTCTTGAGAAGGAAGGATGGCGATAAAACGAATAATATACACGCTCTCGATTGTACTCGCGAAATTATTGGCTGTGTTGATGTGAACACTGCGATTGGACTCACACCTCTCCTGGACTCCCCAAAAATGGGTGTTAGAACCGCGGCACGTATTCTGACGAGGAAAAGGACGCCCGAGGACCAACCCGCAGGATCTCCATGCTCTGTTCGTTATAACCTGGATTTAAACATTTACGGCCCGAAAAAGCACGCTCTTCAGATTGGTAAATTTCTCTCTCACAAACAACTATGGTTAAGAACTCCACTTTCTGTCGAAGCTGGTATCCCTTTGCACAATCCTCATGCTTTAGAAAAACCTTCTAGAAATGTACAGCCCACTTCTCATGCATATCCGTCTTACGCATCTCGTTCTCAAGCCCCTGTTCGAACAACGGAGGAAATTCGAAATGACGTTTTGGGAGTCTTTGACTCATTGCCGAGATCTGAGAGTTTGCCAGAGTTAGAACCAAGCCCTTTAATTACTACAGAATTACTCAAGCATCAGAAACAAGGTCTTTACTTCATGACAAATAGAGAAAAGGAACGAAATTATGAGACGAAGGACAAGTGCGATTTGTGGAAGCTTAGCTACGGAAATAATGGTCAGAAGATATACTACAATGTCATCACTGGTGATCAGGAACGCAAAAGTCCACCGCAAGTTCTTGGTGGTATTCTTGCCGATATGATGGGACTGGGAAAGACTCTTAGTATTCTCTCCTTGGTAGTTACGACTCTTGATGATTCGAAAGAATGGGCGAAGCAAAAACCATCAAATTCCGATCGAAGAGAGCAGCCTATCGCCAAATCAGGTAAAGCTGCCTCCCTACCCAAGGTCGAACCAGCAACTCTCGCTTTAAATTGCAAAACTACTCTGCTAGTTGCTCCACTAAGTGTTATATCAAATTGGGAAGATCAAATCAAAGCACATGTCAAACCTGGTGCCTTGAAATACTACATTTATCATGGTGCTAATCGCATCAAAGATGTCAAGAAATTATCAGAGTATGATGTGGTTATCACTACCTATGGTTCCGTGGCGAGTGAGTTCAACAACAGGAACAAGAGGAAAGATGGTAAATACCCTCTTGAAGAGATGAATTGGTTTCGAATTGTACTTGATGAAGCTCATATGATTCGAGAACAATCGACCCTACAGTTCAAGGCCATTTGTAGGCTTTCCGCACAACGTAGATGGGCATGCACCGGCACACCAGTCCAGAATCGATTGGAAGACTTGGGTGCTTTGATGAATTTCCTTCGCGTCAAACCTTTTGATGGGAGTGGGTTCGCTCAACATATTCTCTCTCCTTTCAAAATTTGCGATCCTGAAATCATTCCCAAACTTCGGTTATTGGTTGACAGCATTACTCTTCGTCGACTCAAAGATAAAATTGATCTTCCGAAGCGTCATGATCATATTGTCAGGCTCAACTTCAGTGATGAAGAGCGTATGGTCTATGATATCTTTGAAAAGAATGCAACAGATAGGCTTAAAGTCATTACTAGTCAAGGAGAGAGTGCTTTGGGTGGCAAAACCTTTCACCATATTCTTCAATCAATCTTGCGTCTCCGTCAAGTCTGTGCTCATGGCAAGGATTTATTGAGTTCTGAGGACCTAAAGATAATGAATGGTTTGAGCAAGGATTCTGCCATCGATCTCGATAGTGAAGAATATGAAGATCATGATGGAATGACGTCCAAGCAAGCCTATGATATGTATAAATTGATGAAGGAAACGGGTGCTGATAGTTGCTTGACCTGTAATCGAAAGATTGGTCCTCAAGATGTTGTTGATTCTGATGGCGAACCTAAAGATGAGGTCATTGGTTACATGACACCTTGTTTCCACATTATTTGTGGTTTATGCATTGGTGCCTACAGATCTCAATTGGAAGAAATGGCTTTTGGTGGTTCTTTTGTTACATGTCCTACATGTCATCAACAAATCTCTCCATCTGTGTTTTCTCTCAAGCAAGAAGAAGTAGACAAAGATGAGGAATCACGATTGAAGTCCAAAGAATCAGCAAAAGCAGGCAAGGATTTATCAAGTTATAGTGGACCTCATACTAAGACGATAGCTTTGATTCATGATCTACTGGAATCCAAAAAGGAATCCGAGTTAAATCCAAATCAACCACCAATTAAAAGTGTTGTCTTTTCTGGTTGGACAAGTCATCTTGACCTGATTCAATTCGCTTTACAAGAGAACAATATTCCTTACACTCGTCTTGATGGTAAAATGACCCGTATCGCTCGCTCAAACGCAATGGAGAATTTTCGTGAAGATCCAACGATCGTTGTTATCCTAGTATCCATCTCTGCTGGTGGTCTCGGTCTCAATCTCACCACAGCCAATAAGGTCTATGTCATGGAACCTCAGTTCAACCCAGCAGCGGAAGCCCAAGCTATTGATCGTGTACATAGATTGGGTCAAAGGAGAGAAGTTCAAACGGTGCGATTTATTATGAATAACAGCTTCGAGGAAAAGATGTTGAAAATTCAAGATAAGAAACAAAAGTTGGCGAGCTTGAGTATGGATTCTCAAAAAGGGAGGTTGGATAAGAAGGAGGCATCTATTAGAAAGTTAGAAGAGTTAAAGGATTTGTTTAGGAAGTAAGTTGTAGTAGAGTGATGGTATTTTCAGGATGGTTATGAGTTTATGGTGTTATTACCTTTTGGGGCGCCCTCGGATGTTTAAAATTTATGTGCGAGGGGAGTAACGCATATAAGGGGAGTAAACGGTACATTGCTCTTAGCAGGTGGAGTTTGGGATCATTCCACAGGCATGCATCATTTATTTGATCTATTGATCAGACACTAGATTCCCATTTCAAGTTTCTTTGCAACTTGATATTATCATCATCTACATTTCTTTGATAAAAGGGCGTTGAGCAGCAGGCAGGTTTCATGGGAAATCAATGCATCAATGCATCAGTGCATCTCATTTGGGCTGTTTTTGGCTCGAGGGGGGCGGGGTGGGAATTGGTGATCTACTTTTCTTTTCTTTACTTTTAGAATATACTTATTAGAGGATTTCATGTAGAAGGAGGGGTGGGGTCCGGCGAAGGTTATGCTATATTGTGCTTTTTTTTAGTACGTATGCATTGATTGGTATGGAATGGAAAAGGCTGAGGAGTTTTTTTTGGGGATGTTTTGTTGTGAGGATGAATAGATAGATAGATTAATGATTTATTTATTTATTCATTGATTTGTTTATAATAGGTCTAAATATATAAATCTTGTCATAATTATACTACTCATGTCGTAAGATAGGTACTAATAGCTCTAACATCTCATTCCAGTATACATACTTCAAAAGACGCCATACATACGATCCTGCAAACCCCCCGATTTTCCAAGAAGACATCATTGTTTCCACATTCTATATCCCTCTTAATCGCAGCTAGTATTCCTTTTTATCAATCTCTCACCTTATCTCGATATCTCGCCAGTAATTACCTTCACCATACATGTATAACCTGTAATCATCCTCTCGAGATTATGGATTGGAAACAAATCAAGAATTATATTTTTGATATATTACTTTATATTATTATATTTCCAGATTTAAATTTTTATTAATATAATATAAAATATTAATATTTATTGGTAATTATAAATATTTTGTTAAGGGGGAAAGGAAAGGCAAGTTATTGTGAGTTGGATTATAGATTGGTCTACAGCAGAGATTGTGGATTGAGTACCGGAATCTGTTAATATAGGGAAGGGAGTAGTGTTGAGGAGATTTAGTTGATGATGATAGATGTTAGATATACTGATAATACTCGAAGTCACTTCATATCACTTGATATTGTCTGTATTGAGATAGATAAATCTGTTGTTTGTAGTAGATGTGAAGTTTTGCTTTCCATCAATCAGTACCCTACGAGCCGAATATTAACCGAGAAAAATTATCGAAATAGCTCGTTCACCCACCAAAAACGCGCGAGAGAAAATTCTTCCCTATAGCTCGATTTTCTACAAACTTAACCTCTGTATTAAGTGGTGGTGAAGTTATTAATCATTTGAGACAAGAGCAAATAGTATCGAAATAATCTATCCATCATAAATAAACTAAAATATATACACAACAAACCCCTCCGCTGTAAAATACCATCTCCAAACACCCTCTTCAATACCCTCTTATAAACTCCCCCAAAAATCAACCCTCTACTCTCTCATTCCTAAATTCATAAATATCGTACCCCAAAGTACTATCTACCCATCCCCAATAAAATAGTCACAAATAGCACTCCATTAGCCCATCATAGTTCCCCCAATCCAAAGCCCCCACTATTCCACATTCGATGTTCATATATTAACAAACACAAATTTAAACCATCAAATACAACAAAGGTGAGATGGCCGAGTTGGTCTAAGGCGCCAGGTTAAGGTTTACAGCTCTTAACACAAGATTATCGTAATCTCCTGGTCTAGTAATAGGCGTGGGTTCGAATCCCACTCTCATCATTTGATTGCTTTTTGAACTCTTTTGGTTTGGTATTTTCGAGCGGGCTTGTTGCTTTGATCTGCTTTGATATGTTTTTTTGTGAGGGAGCTGCTGGATTGATGGAGTTGGAGGATTCTCCACTTGGTTGGTTGGTTCTTTGTGCCTACGGGAATACGAGTAGTGAATGGATGGAGTTCTCCGTTGGTTGCTTGGAACTTGGTAGCTAGCGGCTTGTGGTGGGTGAGAATCACAAATCTTTATTGGTGGTTATATTTGTGTGTTTTTGAGTGGTGTGTATATGGATAGATAGAATATATAGAAGAAAGATCTTTGATTTGGATTTATTGTTCATTTTCTTCGTTGAGTTTATTTCGAGACTTCGTTTTAATTTTCGATTTTCGGTTTTTTAATGAGGTATTTGGGTTTTTCGTGGCTAGAGATACTGATTATTACGGGAAGCGAAGGGATCCTTTGGTGCGTTATCACGATCATTGGTGTGTGATTGAAATATATGTAATTATGATTGAGCTTTTGGATTAAAAATTAAATGAATGTATTTGTTCAACTCTTTTCATGCTGTAACCTAACCTTGAATGTTCAGAATGTTTTTGATCTTTGGAGCTCGCTAAGGTTAATTAATCTGATTTTGCGGAAGTGTAAGAACTTTCTACTCATGAATCAAAATATTAAGGTTAATTAATATACCTAGTATTATACTGATTCTTGCTATTGTTGATGTTCTCAAGGATAGTGAATTTTTGAGTTGATATATATAAGTAGGAGGTTGTAAACAGAGCTTCAAAGGTATTTGATTTATATATTCGCGTCGAAGTAATACATCTCGTTTGTATTATATTTGAGTTTATCGATATCCTTGACTATAAAAGATCTATATTATACATACACTTCCTCATTACTAATACCTTAAATAAGTATCTATAAAACCTTAACGCCGCAAGTACAATAGGTGGTATCATAAAAAAGTATCCTGACCCATTTCCCCCTTTTAAAGAGCTTTGAAAATCATCCAAATCGACCAGACCAAACAAACCAAACCAAACCAAACCACTGACCTGCATACCACCGGCCAACCAGACAGCCGACGAACCATACCGCCAGATCCCAACCTCATTGTACCATCCATATGTTTATACAGTGCACCCAATATATTAAAAAGCAACTCCAACACTATCCTTTCCATATCCATAAGCCATACTCCACCTCGCCTCCTCACTCTTTTCACTTCCCCCAAATGTCCTCGCTCCATCTCTACTAGGTGGCGCAACTTGTAACCTCTTACTATCCGCACTAATTCTCACTCCATAACCCAATTCATTAACATCCCTATCACCACGACCAAGACTTGGACTCTCGCTCCAACTCGTCTCTTCATAATCTTCATTGCCATCATTCTCACTTGCAATACTGCTAACACTGCTCACACTAAGCGGGTTATCGACTTCTTTTACTTCTATACATTGATAGAAACCCTGTCTAGATGTTACGGGTTTGGGGGTGTTGGTAACTGAATCGAGAGACATGTGGCGAGAGTGATGTTGTTCGGATGGGAATAACCAGGAGGAGACGCGCGAAAGAGATTTGCTTCTGGCGGCAACCTGGGGTGTTTGGAGAACCAAGGGAAGAGGAGGAGGTAATGGACGTTCTTTAAGAAGTTTCGGGGCTCGTAGAGAAGAATCTATGGATTTTAGACGGCGGGGTCGTGAGGGAGCTGTTTGGGGTCGACGATTGGTGTTGTGGAGTGGAAGATCGGTGATAGCGGGCATGGGTTCTTTGGTTTCGTTAGACTTGTTGTATTTAGGATATGGCAATAAACTAAAAGCTTACCCGTGAATTCTGAGTATATACTCTCACGTCGTTCTTGCCGACTTTCAGCTCGGCTTGTACGACTTGTTGGTCGACTGACTAGATAAATACTTCTTCTCTCGATAGCTTCATCAAGTTCTTTTAGTCGTTTATCCAATTCTATATTTTCCAATAACGCAGACTTGACTCTTTCATACGCAGGTGGTTCCGTATTTGCTCTTAATCGTGTAGGGCGCTCCTGAGGTAAATCATTCGCCGCATCCAACAACGCCTCGGCTTTCATTGACTTTTTTTCAATAACGGTGGACAGAATTGGTTTCCTGGGCACCCTAAATTCCAACGCCGACTCGCTCCTTACATGAAGTAATGTACGATCATTTTTCCCATCGTATGTATGAGGTCCAAACTCTGGTAAGGGTGATAATCGATTTCCTGGTAAATATATGCTCAACTCCAACGGTCGCAATTTTGGATCATTCCTAATGACGACTCGTTCCGGTTCCCTCACATAACTCGTTTCCGTATGATGTTGGAAGTTATATGGAGCACTAATCACCATTCGATTTGAAGCACGAGATGATAAATTTCTTCTCAAACTAAAGCTTCCACGACTTGATGTCCTTGATCGACTAGTAGTCCATTCTTTCCCTCTAGTCTGTGGTCTCTCCAGAGGAGATGCTGTCTGTGGTCTTTCTAATGGTTGTGGTAATGGAGGAGATATTAATTGAGGTTGTCCATTTACTATGCGCATTGATTTTTCTGGTTCTTGATGTTTTGTTAGAACTATTCATAACTGCAGACTTCCCATTAATCTGCTTACCACAACTTCCCACATCTTCCCCCGCCGCACAACAATTGATAGAAGAATTTAACCAAGCCATTTGCGCATCATTGAGAAACCTGCTCAAGGATTGCATGACCACGACTTCATACCGAACACAATTTCCAATCGAATAGGAAGATTAAAGACAAAAGAAAACGAGGGTAAGAATGTTTTGAAAATTTCAACCAACTAACAGAGAAGCTAGAAGAGCATCATTGCAAAGATAAAGACGAGGTCTGAAAGATGTGATAACTCAATCGTAATGATTGGCTATCTTGACATAAATGGGAACGTCGTACAAGATTGTAAGAGATCGAGACGCCCAAAAAAGCCCATGAGAATTGATAACATAAGGCATAAGGTTATACTCAATTGAGTTTCTTCGCAGCGGGTAAATATTGCCTTGTAGGACTCATGATGGGTTGTAGATGACCCATGATTAACCCACATTATCTAACATTATCCATGATTACCCCATGGCTTGCAGGTTCATGCTCGCACTTTGCTTTACACTTGCTTGCAGTTGCTTGCAATTACTCACATTTATTTTTGTTGGTGCATGGTGATAGGTTGTGATGAGATGAAGGTAGGAGGGGCGGGAGGGAGATGGACCGCTAAATTGGCCAAGTGGGCGGGTAACTTTATTGAAAGGATTGCCCTGATAGGAATGGTCTCGTTAACTTCCCTTATTTCTGTATAATTCTAGCCAGGTAGCCAGAGGGAATGGAAGGATCAAGAAATGCATGGCTGTGTATATAATCCAAGTAATACATACCTGGAGGACAAAATTTGAGATTGTAGGTTGTGCTAATGCAATGCAAGAAACAATTGAAGCTATAGTAAAAGAAATCTACTAATTGTATGTACGTTTCCAGGTTTAAAATGGAAATATTGTGTCGTTCGTTCATGAATGTTCCTGGTGAAGAAAATCCGTACCGTGCAACTGTGGGTGCGTTTGAGGTAAAAAGTGGATATCTAGAATACCGAAGATCCGGCCAAGGATGATCCGGCACAGTAATAATTAAGCTAGATGTGATGAGATTTCCATGAGATGTGATATATATATTTTTAGCTTCTACAATTTGAAATTAGACGTTGGATTTTGACGACTGACGCAAAGTCTGTCAAAATATGGTGTTGATCATCAGGTACGTAAAGACAGTACTACAATGATGTAACACCAACATTACATAGCATGCATCACTATCATGTAACAGGAAATATAAAATTTGAAGGAATGAGAAGGATTTTAAATATGAGTATTTAGGTAGTATGGCATATATGATGGTGTTTCTGAGTCCTACACGGGATGGTTGCGTATCGCGTATCGTGTATCATGAAATATACCTAATCGTGCATTGATCCTATTTGTTCTACTCAGACTGATACAAAAAGTTGCCATTGGATCTCTCGCTATCTTTACTACCTTCGAGGAGGCGCAGCGAGGAAACTCCTCAACAAGCATGAGAAGAAATAGCCGAATGAATGGAATTCCCTCAGTTGTGGTGAATGTGTACCGGTATGTGCGTGTGGAGATGGGGATGTGCGGGATAGACGAGGTAAGCCATGGAGGAACCATTCATTGTTTTGGATGATTTCCAAATTCTTCATTCTCCGCACGTTGACCAAGAGCTATTCTAATGCATCCGACAATCTCATTCGAAAATAATCGTGATTTCTAAATGGAGAGGGGCAAACAAGTTTGGATATCGGGTCCACCGAGCTTAGAAGGATATAGCATAACAGTGCATTTCCATCATGAAGCTCCTCATATCATCTGCGTGTGCTCAGCACACAGTACAGTAAGATGCCCAAGAATCAAGGCGACCGTGTCTGGGAAACCTTCTAGAACGCCATAGATGGTGACTGTTTAATACACAATGCAGTAATGCCCAATCTATACTTAAAATCAAATCCGGGAAGAGGCGGGGTTTCCCCAGAAACTCGACCACATCAGCCCAGATCTTAATATTCGGGGATTTTGTCTTTTTGGAAGAATTTATTCGACGGGCCCCAGAATCTACTGACATTCAATCAAGAGAGTTTTACTTCTTGAAATAGATTTGAAAGGCTTTCCACGGCGTTTCGCAGTGATTGTAGTCATCTTTGTGCATTGTTGAGTGGCTTTTGGATATTTATCGAACAAATAACTCATGTTGAGAATGATCCTGGGGCTGATGCAGTGGTGTAGCAAATTTCTGACAACAAATGGGCTGATTCTACAAAATATTTCTCGTATAGGCCACGTGCACTAGCATTTGTTATGAATGGCAAAGTAGTATATGTTTTGAGGGGTATGTAAGTTGTGGAGGCGCAATTCAATACCTGAACGATGTTGACGGAGGAGCTTTGGGAAAACAACTACTATGTGTGTATAGTATACTTAGGTATTTAACCATCATTATTAGATACCTTTATTTGTCGCTGGGTGAGTAAAACGAAGTAAAAAACACGATGGCATCTGTTTAGTCCCGTTGTGGCTAGGGCTTAGGGGCTGGTATAAGGCTACTTACTGTACGAGAAGCTTGATTTAAAAATAGACCCCTTTTGACAAGCAAACCCAAACAAAATCTCTCACAATAATAAATGGGAGAGGCTTTGTTTAGGTTAATCATATTCTTACCAGCAGAATTTACTCGGTGAATTTGGGGGCCATGTATAAGGAAACGTTGATGTTTATCTCGTGCCATTGGTCCGGGAAAGCCTGCAATGCCCCCCTCCGCTGACTTCTCAAAATGCCGCGGATACACAGGACCAGCGCAGCGATCTACATGGATTCATCAAATACTTCAAACCCAATCAACCGGTATCGTGGAATCCAACGATATGGGGATTATGATCATTCATATAGGAAGTCACAAGTGGCCTATTTCGTTCTTGACCTGCTCTAGTCCTGGATCATTCTTTCCTTTTGTCAGTACTTGACTATTGTCAATATTAGATTGTCTTCAACTTTATCATTCTGTTACTTGTCAATATCATTTGCATTGGTATATATTCCTTGTGAATCACAGCTCTATTGTAACTTTTCATGATCATCCGGGTAAACCCTATACAAATAACCTTCCTTACGTTCTGGACCATCATGAAAAGCACAAGGTGTTCATGACTCGACTTAAAATAGCTGATATGCTTAATCATATCTGATTGTATGATTCTCTATCGAACAGTTCGAGACTTTATAATCATGGAATTGTAGCCAACTTCTGCCAAGCATTTTATTTTTAACACCTTTCTAATGTACATTTATACCACCCTGATTGGGCTCATGATAGGAGTTGCAGCTCAGTCAGCTGTGGATTTTTCACAATATGTTCTTACAACAGTAAGTTTCTACACTATCAATATACGATAGTCTGCCTAATATATTTTCTAGAATGGAGAAGCCAATGGAGGCAACACCTTCCCTGGGGTTTCTTTACCATTTGGTATGGTCAAACTTGGGCCTGACATGTATACGGGAAGTGATAGTTATTCTGGAACTGAATTGCGTGGTAACTTTACCGGGTTCTCCATGATGCATGAAAGCGGAACTGGAGGAGCTCCAAAATATGGCGTCGTCTCACAAATGCCTGTCCTCGGGAATATAACTAACCCTTTGGCCAACTTGAATGACACTCGAGCTTCCGCCGATATAACATCTGTAGGCTATTATAAAGCCTCGCTGGGTAGTAACATTACTGTTGAACTTGGGGCAACAAGTCGTGCGGGCTTCTACCAGTATACGTTTCCGGAGGGTAAAGGAACCCCAAATGTAGTCGTCGATGTGTCTCACGTATTGCCATCATATCGAAAACAAGGCCTTTCCCAGAATTATCTTGGTGGGAATATTACTGTGTTAGAGGATGGTCACTATGAGGGATTCGGGGATTATAACAATGGCTGGAACATGGCGCCTGACTGGAGAATATACTTTTGTGGTTACTTCGAAAGTCTATCGACGGTAAAGACATTCGTCGGGACGAGTCTTAATGGAAGCAAGGTTGCTAGTTACAGTATAGAAAAAACTGCATCCTCCAACACTCGACTAGGGGCAATATTTACTTTCAACAGCACAACGGTAGTCTCCAGGGTCGGAATATCTTTCATATCTTCAGCCCAGGCTTGCGAAAATGTCAGTTCTCAAATACCTTCTGGTACAACGCTGTCAACCTTGACGAACGACGCAAGAGATGTCTGGAACAGCCAGGTCTTGGCCAAAGTCACGACTACTGAGACCAACAAAACGAACCTACGATTGTTGTATAGCTCCCTATATTTCATGCACTTACTACCATCCAACCGTACCGGGGAAAATCCGTTGTGGATTTCTTCAGAGCCATACTATGATGATACATTTACGACTTGGGATCTATTTCGGTGTACTTTCTCATTACTTCATATACTTCAGCCGGTAGCATATGAGGAATATATTCGATCGCTGATTGATATATTCCGATTTGAAGGTTATATGCCGGATGCCAGGTCCTCAAATTTCAATGGCGCAACCCAAGGGGGGTCAAATTCTGATAACGTACTAGCTGATGCATATGTAAAAGGGGTGAGGGGTGCAGTGAACTGGACCACGGGATACCAAGCTATGGTCAAAAATGCTGAAATTGTTCCAGTTAATAACAATGATCCTCGAGATAATTCTTCTTCAACGAAAGAAGGGCGTGGAGCTCTTCCTGATTGGTTACAGTACGGATATATTACACCAAAATATGGTCGAGCAGTTTCTCGAGCCGTTGAATATTCCTTCAACGACTTTTCTCTGTATCAAGTAGCAACTGGGCTAGGTATGGAAGATGATGCAACGAAATATTTGAAAAGATCTCAAAATTGGGTAAACCATTGGAACCCTAACGCGGCTTCCCTTGGGTTCAATGGATTTCTCGTTCCCAGAAGTACTGCAGGATTCATCAAACAGAATCCACTTTCTTGTGGTGGGTGTTATTGGAAGGATGCATACTATGAGGCATTACCTTGGGAATATTCCTTCAATATGCATCATGACATGAAGACACTGATTGCATTATCAGGCGGACCATCTACTTTCGTGAACCGTCTTAACACCATGTTCAAACCTGGAATCAACACCTCTGGGCGCTCGTCGGGCTTTAATAATACAATTTTCAACCCAGGTAATGAGCCATCATTCACTACTCCATATCTGTACAACTACGTAGGAAGACAGGATTTGAGTGTCATACAATCTCGATACATTGCAAAGTCATATTACTCCTCTAGTCCTGGTGGGTTACCAGGAAATAGTGATGCTGGTGCGATGGAATCATGGTTGATTTGGAATATGCTTGGTCTATACCCTATGGTCGGACAAACCACTTTCTTAATTGGCAGTCCATGGTTCGCAAATACAACTATTTCACTTGGTGGTGGGAAATCACTTGCCATGACCACCGTCGGCGGGTCTGAATCTGCCTTCTACGTCCAATCCCTCCAAGTCAACGGAATTTCATGGAATCAATCTTGGCTTACTTGGAACGATGTCTTTACGAATGGTGGAACGATGGATTTTGTTCTTGGACCTGAACCATCCAATTGGACAACTGGGCCAGCACCCCCAAGTCCAGCGAGTACAGTCAGCGAAAATGCCGATCCCAACAGTATTCTGACTCCAGTACCCACGGGTCCCAATCCTAAGTCCAACCACAATATCACAGAGGGGAGAAAAAGAGAAATTCTGAGAACGATAGCTTTTGTGATCACGGCTGTAACTGTAGTAACAGTTTCCTGCGCAGGAATCTGGTATTGGCGAAGGAGAAATGCTATAATAAATATAGATGCTGATATCCAAGTCAAGAGAGTCAAGTCAGCAAATATAAATACAGGGGAAAACGAACCTGGAAGTAAAGACTATAGACAAAAGTTTTTGGAATGGATTAGACGGAGATCAAATGATGCTCCAAAGGATGATTTGAAGAGATCAGCTGTTCGAAAGAATGAGGTTCAAAGTATCAGTGAAGATACAATGGTTGATAGAAAAGACCTAGACAAATCAAGCTCGACGAAGGTACCTATGATTAAGGTGGGAGGACTACATGATGCTTCATCTGAAGAAGGCCTTGAACCTTGGACACCTTCTGGAACGAGTAGAAGAATCTTTGATGAGAGGACTCATGCTGGGAATGAATAATGATAGTAAAAGCTGTACGATATAGTGGATAGATAGAGATATAAATACAGAATTGGATGGATTTGTACATTGCTACTTCATGTTCTCTCTTTCTTAGTAACATACTATGAAACTAATCAGAAGGGTCCATCCCTTTCACTTCCTGATATTGACTAACTAACAACTGTTTCAATTTTTAAAACTGAAGCATCTTAGATCGCAGTAATAATATATATAGGACAGTATAAATGAAATTTCTAAGTAAATGTACCTATTTTAGGTCAATATTATTATTGATATTTAGTTCAATATCATTTTTTCCTCAACAGTTCCCCCGATATTTTCTTGTGCAAGAGCTTTGACGCTCAGACCACAACAGAGCTTCCCGGTCAACTTTTTGAGAACTCTCAACTTATTTTGTTGCCAAACACAAACTGTTTTGTGCAAACAGCCATGAATTTATAATTGCATATCAACCACTCCCTCGAAAATTAACTGGTATCAAAGGATACCCAAACTTTCAATCACCACACTGCGACAAACAGGTCTTACTCGAGATGTTGTTTCCAGAAGAAGATGCTGGAGAATTGAAGAAGTGGATTATCAAGAGACTTGAAAATACGTATGTTTACTTCAATTTTCGCCATCATATAGGCATGATTCTAATTTTCTTTATAGGTCAGATGCAGATGCCGATGTCCTCGCCGATTATGTTCTTGCTTTATTGCGACATGATGGAGATGTAAACACAGTTCGACAACTTTGCCTGGCTGAAATTCCCGATTTCTTAAAAGAGGATACATCGATTTTCGTACGCGATGTCTTCGATGCCCTTCAATATAAGACTTATCTAAGTGGCGGGCCACCTCGTCGCCCCTCACAACCATTTGCGCCACCTACTGGACCATCAGGTGCACCCTTCAACAATCTAAATATGGGAGCTCCAATGGGCCATCCAAACGGTTCCCGAAAGCGCACATATGATGGGCGAGGCGATGGAGATTCTCAGATGTATATGGGTGGAGATCAAAATGCGCGCGCATATAAACAACCGCGAAGAGGTGGCGGGGCAGGACGCGGGAACTTTGATAATTTCAATAATGGTAGAGGAGGATTCCAAGGTCGTCCGCAACATATGCCAATGCCTAATGCGCCGTTCCCTAATATGCAGGGCATGCCAGGTTCCCCGACAGGATTACCTCCACTTGATCCGAACAATCCAATGGCAGCTCTTCTTGCTATGCAGCAAGCGATGGACGCGATGGGTCTACCTCTTCCTCAGGGTATGCCAGGATTCCCTCCCAATGGATCCCCACAAAATAGAGGGCAAGCAGGCCCAATGAGCCAAAGGAAGCAACGATGTCGAGATTATGACCAGAAAGGATTTTGCGCCCGAGGAAATACTTGCATGTATGAGCACGGTCAAGATTCGATATATGTTCCAGGAGGTGCGGGCAAACCTACAGACGAATACGACCCAAGTAACGCGTCGCTTATGACTGGTAAACTGAACCAGAATGACAATGGCCAAGGGCCGGCATCATTCGGTGGCCTTGACAACAACCGTGGCGGTATGGGACGTGGTAGAGGGCACTCTATGGGTAGAGGTGGATCACAAATGCATGCTGGTAGAGGTGGGAGACGAGCAGAATTTTCTTCAGACCGACCAAATTTCAATACGAATAATACCACAATCGTCATAGAACAAATTCCGGAAGAAAAATTCTCAGAAGAAGCTGTTCGGGAATTTTTCTCAGAGTTCGGCAACATAAAGGAGGTGGATATGAGACCATATAAAAGATTGGCTTTGGTCAAATATGATGATTGGAACGCGGCAAATACAGCATACAGCTCACCCAAGGTCATTTTTGACAACAGATTTGTGAAGGTCTATTGGTACACAAACCCTGAAGCACTTCCAAAACCTCCGGGCAATGCATCGTCTAATGGCACAACCAATAATGGTACTCATGGCCCATTTCCTACAAGAGAGACGGATGAACCTCAGATTGATATCGAAGAGTTCACAAAGAAGCAGCAAGAAGTACAAAGAGTGCATGAGGAAAAGATGAAGAAGAAACAGGAAATGGAAGCCACTCGTAAGGAGTTGGAGAGACGCCAAGAAGAGCTTCTGAAAAATCAAGCCGAGGAAAAGAGGAAATTGATGGAGAAACTTGCGGCTAAGACTGGCAAATCTGCATCTCCCGGCGTCAAGGCTGAGGAAGGGTCTCCCGCGCCCAAAACTTCATCTCAAACAGAAGCTTTGAAAAAACAGCTGGCTGCTTTAGAGGCAGAAGCTCAATCTTTAGGCTTGCCAAACCTGGATAACCCTCTTTCTGATGATACATGGGGTGGACGTGGTCGAGGACGTGGTGGCTATAGAGGAAGAGGTACTTTTGCTCCCCGTGGTTTCCGTGGAGGTTACAGAGGACGTGGTGGTGCTCCATTTGGTGGAAGTGCTCCTGCCCGCTACACTCTTGACAATCGGACAAAGAAAATTGCTGTTAGTGGTGCAGACTTTACAAATCCACAAATAGACGAGAGTCTGAGGGAACATCTTTTGGTATGGTTTCCTTTTTTTTTTTTTTTTCAGATTCTTACTGGTAGTCCTATTGTACTAATATATCCTAGGGAATTGGTGAATACACTGAGCTCACTAATACAGCAAACGGTTGTCACATAACATTCAAAGATCGCCACACAGCTGAGAAATTTATGTTCGGTCTTCAAAACGGTGAAATCCCATCAGTAGGAAAGGTTGATTTATCATGGATTCAAACACCATTGCCACCAGTTACATTGTCTAATACTCAGAATTCATCTGGGAGTAGTAGAACGGAATCAGATGTCAAGATAGAAGGTGGAATGGAAGGTGATGCCATGGCTCAAGATTCTCCTTCAATGAATATGAGTGGGACAGGTGCCGACAGAGATATGCAAGAGAATATCGATTATGATGTTGCGGGTGATGATGACTGGGGCGTGCAGTAAATCATTGAATGGGATGAATTGGGCTGGAAAATGGAAAGCCAGGGACAGAGAAGCACATCCAAATGGATTTGGGTTGAATAAATGTATACCGAAGAGCTTCCATCTATCTTGTATGAATTTGGTACTTTTGTAATAACAAATCGAGAGCGAGAACGAGAGCGAGAACAAGAGCGGAAAGATACCTAGGTGGGCTGGGCAGGAAATGCTCGTTTAAGTGCTTTTACTAGGAAGAAGATACCTTATCGAATGATTTGAATTTTAGCATATGGAAGATTCGTGTTGAGAATATATGCATCCATATGTGCACAGGTATCCATCTATCTATATAAGATCTTCCAATGAGTAAATGGAACTGAAGAGGAAATCTTATTCTCCATGGGTTGGAAATATGAAATATGAAATAAGAAACATAAATTTCAAGCTGTACTGGTGTCATCTTGTTAAATCATACATATTCTTCCTTCCACCTAGTGTTTCCGTTGAATTGCAGGAGAGAAATAATTATCGGTTTATATATTGGATGTTAGATAGAGTATTCGGGTATTTTTATTTTCATTTTTAAGGTCACCGTTCATTATGGAACTCTGTACTCGATCGAGTATGGGGGTTTATTTAATATGTATAGGGATGCCTACTTGGGAGGTGAGTAAGTGATTGATTGGTAATTATCTAGTATATTCTAATTTATCTTGGACCTTGAGGGGTTTTTATTGGATTTTTTGGATTCGGGATTTTTGTATAGCTTGGATTTTGAGTAGTTGGGTGGGTAGGTGGTGGATGGGTTGGTATGTGGGTAGAATGAATGAATGAATGAATGAATGAATGGTTGATTGAGTGAGTGGTATGATATCTTCATTCACTCATAGCTCCTTGGAATATAGTATGCCATGGAGGAAGAATGTGAATGTGAATGTAATGCAGAACTAAAACTTATTAGTTTGGCATTCCTCTCTTCAATATTTGCTATTTTCTTATACCTTTAGCTCTGATTTGGAGTATTTATTTTGCTGTGTTAAATTTGAGAGTTTACATTGTAGTTGCTCTTGAGTGCGATGTAGGATCTTACATGCTTTGATATTAATCTATATACTAATTCAATATTCTAAAGTCTTACTTACATCTAATATCTATTCTTCTATCCAAATCCAAGAGTTAAACATCCAACTCCATATAAAATGCAAAAAAGCTTCCACTCATAAACCTCAAAGACCATCAGAATGACCATCCAAATGTTCAAACTGTTTCCCATAATCATCAGGAAGTTTCATATCCCTCGGTAAGCGATACTGTCCCTGACAACTCCCCTTCATCCTACAATCTAAATCACACTTGCCGTACAATTTACAATAGCACTGTTCAGCACTCGGACACGCCTGTCGGTTTAGTTTCTCCAAATCCACGGTTCCGTTTTCCACTCCCTCTTGCTCCATAAATAACACATGCCACAAATAACTCAAGATTCTCCCCGCAACTTTATCATCCCTTGGTGCCCCGTTAGCATTCAATAACCACTGTCTCAATGCTACATATTCCTCTCTATCATGTTTCCAAATACTCTCTCTAGAAACGACAAATTGCGCACAACATTGACTTCTGACCACATCGGTCCTACTCAACTGTTTCCCCTCGCCAAACAGTACCTTCAACGCTTTAGGAAACGCCGCATCAGAAACCGCCCGTTTATCCCACGGTTGTAGAGATGCTTGCATACTTGTCTCCAAACTTCCCTGGGGAACCGCTTCACTTCTACACGTACTCAAACTCCAATCACATTTTAAATTATGATACCCATATTCCCTCAACGCATCCTCCACATTAAGCCGGGATAATAAATCCCTATTGTCGTATTGCGGATGATCATTATGCCACTGATAGCGATTCCCGTGAACGAATACCGCGCCTGCCGCGGGTATGTGTTCGTAGTTATCAATGAGGAATGTCAAGTAGGGCATAGCTTCATGCGCACGATTAGCAGGTACTTGTAAGATTTTCTGTGTGGATTTCAAGAGGGATGGTGAATCGACGTTGTAGATGCAGATGTGGTATTTGTGGCTCAGGGTATCGAGCCAGGATGTTTCGCCGTCGGCTTCGACGCGTGATACGATGAGCGCGGGTTTGTGGGTGCTGGTGAGTCCGGGACAGATTCCGTGCGGAGGGGGAACCGCTTGTCGGGATTTTTTGTAGCTGTATCGGATGCGTGCCCAGGGGAATCTGGTATTGCTCGAGGAACGGTTCAGGTAGATGATGAGTGTGAGGGCGCTGATGAAGAGTGTGACGTGCACGAGGGCTTTGCGGGTTGTTCGTCTCATGGTTGATTTGGTGTGTTGGATGGATGAGGATGGAGATGAGAGGGTATGTATGTATGTATGAAAGATGTACGAAGTAATGGATTAATTGGTATTAATTAGTATGTATCTAACTTTATAAAAGAACGCATTCTAACAAGGTTTGTGTGCAATGATAACCCCACTACCTGTATACCAAGGTTACAGTAACCTATTCTCCGTAGAGCTAAAAGTTAGCGGTTGTAAGCCCCGGTGAAAACCAACATGCTACTTGAATAATGATCACGCTTATTCTATTCTATCACTTCATCCATACAGGTTGATGTACCTCCATACTTTCAGTTCGATACTTACTCGTAACGTCTCCCCATTTACCCAGCAAGCCAGAAATCTACCTACCTATCTAATATCCTATCCATGCATACATACAACCATCAACCAATCACTTCCAATCCCAATTTTCCAATCCCAATTTTCCCATTTTCCCATTTTCCCATTTTCATTTTTGCAAAAACGGCTAAAGACCTAAACCTAAACGCCTTTCACATGACCATAAAATTTGTTGCATATCTACAAAAAACAGCAGTGGGTGCACAGACAGTCAGTTTACTCATTCATTCATTCACTAACTTCCAAGTTCTCAATCCATAAATCCTCCTAAACACTCTTCGACTCACGCATCTAAGTATCTATCATTCAACCTAAACTATGTAATACCTAGAGACATACTTCATTAATACATACCTAGGTAGTACACACACCTACCAATTAACCAATTAACCAACCTCCATAAAACTCAAACATCCATACACCCATCTATCTATCTATCTATCTGATCTGCTCCCTTTCCCCGAAAGACCCCCATATTGACGCTCTACAGAGTATACCTCCACCCCCTTCCTACCTCTTATCATTCTATTTCTATCAAGAAATCATCCTTTCTATAAACTCTTCCATTCACTAACCCATGAACCTGCAAACCCACGAATCTTTTCCATAATATCTTCCTCTCCGCTGTTTTCTGGTTCGATGATTCCTTCCTTCCTACTAGGACAATAAAAGTTCCATTGCCAAGTTGAAGGTTTTGTCTTTCTTCCGATCTCTCTGTCATCATCACAGTTTCGGGCTCTAGATACCAAGAATAGGATGATCTGGGTATGCAACTCAGGGTGTCATATCATCATCTGTTTATGTTCAAGGTAGCTTTGCAGTAGAGGAAATTCACCAGCGCTAGACAAATGAAGGTGTAATCCTCAAGTATTTGTGATCAATAGAAAATAATTTATAATTCCCTTCCAAATATCCCCCAAATACTATTGTACACCAGTGATTTCCCAATCATCCATAGATTCATCAACCAATCCTAGCCCGTCTTTCAATTATCTCATATCACGAAGTAAATTCGTTTACACCGTTTACTCTTCATCAAAGACCTCCTCAACTCTTGGTGCTAGACTTCGTTGTGTAGTTCCCCCAGTTAAAATCTGTGCTGCTGATCCTGTTGTAGTTGCCGATGCTGGAGCTGGTTGTCCTGTCATTGCTGCCATCGTAGCGCCCGCATTTGCGGAGCCACTTGACTTAGACTTCTTCTTACTCTTCTTTTTCTCCTGTTAATACTGAATTAGCTTCTCCTTCAAAATCGCTTGTTTCATGAAATGGAAAACGAACCTCTTGCCAACCCCAGACGGGTCTGAAACTATCAAAGAATCCCACATCCTCGAACAAATTCGGGTATAACCATAATCCAGGAGGTACTGCAAACATCGTAATTCCAAACAAAATCAATCTGACAATGGCCATCGCAAAGAACAATCCCAATAATCCAAGCATACCCATACTTAGATACCACACACCCAACCTCATCTTAACGGGCCAAAGTGGAAACATGACAACTGCAAATACAATCGCTAATGCTCCAGCGGCGTATAATTTCTGTTTGATTTGTGTACCTTCGTAAAGCCATACAAAGTGAAGCTCCTCCTTACATTCTTGTTGTTGTTCAATCTTTACAGTCCAAAGTCCTTTCACCCGCTTTATAGTATGAGCACCAGGAGCATGATCATGACCTTCATGAGGATCGGCTTTCGAAACACGCAGTGCAAGGAGGGAAAGTGGAAGAAGTTTGAAGCAGTTTTCAAGCGACGCGCGATCGGAAACTTCTGGAAGGAGTGGGTTCTTTTTGCGAGCTTGTTCATAGGCTGGCGATTGAATTGCTCGAAGGGCACGTTTTACTATGATTGAAGGTTAAAACATAATAGCAGTACGGAGTGATTCAAAATGCTTACCTTTGAACATCTCCTTTCTTTGACCATTCAAGATACATGTTCTCGTTTTCAAATCCTGGCTCATCAGAAAGTTTGCGAGAGCAATAGCTGCTGGATTGGGAGGACCTGGTTGAATTGGTTGAGGTTGTTGTTGTTGCTGCTGCTGTTGCATTGCAGCTTCTCTTTGCTTTTGCTGTTGAGCCATTGCATCCGCCTTTAATTTTTCCACAAATTCAGGTACAGTCATACCGGCCTTTTCTGCGTCTTGAGCCAATTGTTTTTGCATTGCTTGAATTTGTTCTGGAGATGGCTGCTGGGCTTGTTGCTGGGCTTGTTGCTGAGCTTGTTGCTGCGCTCTAATCTTTGCGACAAATTCAGGTACACTCATACCAGCCTTTTCTGCATCTTGAGCCAATTGTTTCTGCATTGCTTGCATTTGTTCTGGAGATGGTTGCTGGGCTTGTTGTTGGGCTCTGATCTTTGCTATGAAATCAGGTATCGACATTCCAGCTTGCTGTGCATCATGAGCAATTTGCTGTTGCATCATCTGTAACTGTTCTGGAGTTGGTTGTTGGCCATTTGGTAATCTGAGTTGAATTTGTACTGGTCCTGGTTGTGGTTGACCTTGCTGTTGTTGAACTTGTTGGGGATCTGGCTGTGGTGGCGAATCCATATTGAATATTTATGTGTGAGATCAAATACAACAAAGCAGGTAAGGACAGTAAAAGGGAGACTATTGAGAAATGTGCTTGAATTGAGTGAAGTGAGTGAAATGAGTGAATAAAGATAAATTTATTAAACTTATCTGTCCAAATCTTTAATGTGGGGATGTTGTACAGCCACATATGTGGCGGACGATGACAGGAAAGGCAAGGACGCAGGATGCAAGAACGCAAGAACGGTGCACGGAGCTTACAAGGGCTAAAATAGGTTCAAAGCTTTGATAAAGAGTTAAGAATTTACTGCTAGCGCATTATGTAAGATCCTACATATTTCTAGTGCCTAATCCATGCTCATTCTTCCAAAATACGAACCTCCTTCATCCGAGTCGGCTACTAATTAATTAAGGACTCAAGAGCTAAAATAACAAAATGGAAAGCGAATTTAGTACATAATTTCAGGTTTTAGCAACTCGATGCTAGATTATCCTCAATATTAAATCAAAGAAAGCCAAATGCTATCTTCTTATTGATATCATTTGCGCATACATCCCCTAAACACATATATCACATCTTCCAGGCCATTTAAGCTATGACAACATTTAGATGTTCGGATACTTCGGATAGGAAAGAATTGATAGGGCAACTTTACAAATATTGACTAGAAGACAAGACATTGAGACTCACTTTGTAAAATGAGTGAGACTTACAAACCAGATACTGATGCTTTACCGAAAGATCCTTATGACACAGCCTATCTGGTATGTTACGCTCCGCTTGCCCCATGAGTACTCTTGCTAAAGTATTTCTCAGTCACAAAGAGATGTGGGATTAAACATTCCCATCAATTATGTTACCACTCCAGGTATTTCTTTAACGGCTGCATGTTTCCCACTTCTCAAATATGAGGATGATGATGCGACTCTCTGTATTTCCAATTTATTGGCCAATGGGTTTCGGAGACTGGAAGTGGATTTATACTGGGATGAAATGAGACAATTATGGAGTTTTTGTCCTGTAGCGTTACCAGTCGAGACCTCGAGTATGGTTTCTTCACCAATTCCAACATCAACACGTCCTTCCTCTACGGCTCGTTTGACTTCTGCTTCACAAACTACAGATTTGGTTGCCAGACAGGATACAGCTACGAGTACGATTATTTCTTCATCAAGTATGATAAACGGAGATAGCACACCCCGTTTGAGTTCCTCCTCTCGTACTTTATCTTCAAGGGACTTTATGACCAGCTCGCTCGAGGCAACATTACCGACAAAATCTACAGTCCCAATTTCTTCCAACAGATTACTGTACAATATTGGCCATTATACTTGTGCTCCGACTATCAACTTACATATGTTAACAACCCTACTTTTGGACTACATACAAGAAACACAAAATACAATTGAAGCACACATGCTCATTCTGACTCTTAACATCCACGCAGTTAAATCCGATGCTAGTATCAACGGTCCTGCTCCCCAACCAACCAATTTCCCAACTTTTTTGGAAAATCTAGGATCAATTTTCTCGGCAAATTTATCAGCATACATCTATACACCAAACGATCTAAGATCTAACCGAGTAAATCTGAATGCATCATGGTACTCAGTTACAGAAAGATATAGACCTGCTCTAGATTACTATTCTACCACTACACGCGAATTTGGCGTGGTATCGACGGAAGATGGTTGGCCATCAGAAGCTTATGTCGAATTTTCGCAAGGCAAACGAATGCTTTTGCAGTTTGGCAACGTGGATCCTCAAATGAAGGGATACAATTTCACTGGAGATTCAGACACTATCTTTTCTCCAGGCTATTTGAGTAACAGCCGCGGGAACGATATATTAACCACTCCTGATGGCAATCTAACAAGCGGATGCTTTTTCGCCAATGCCACAGAACAGGTTTCGCAAGTAAACTCATCCTGGGCAACAGCGGCAAATATACCCGGTTTCGACTATCCCACACACTCAAATTCCGATCTCACTTCCCTCCTCAACCTAACATCATCCCTAACAAACTGTGGTATCTCCCCCACCCTCAACATGACCCTCCTCAACACCACAGCCAACACCGACAACTCCCCCTACAAAAACTACGCCTACTCCACCATCTGGTCCTGGGCCCCCAACGAACCCCGCAACTCCTCCTCCTCTTCTTCTTCATCCTCAACCAACGACCCCCTCTTCCGCTGCGCCACCCTCCGCACCCCCTCAAACCACTGGCACGTAACCGACTGCTCCAGCAAACTCCACGCCGCGTGCCGCCTCCCCACCCAACCCTACAACTGGACACTAACCCCCTACGCAATATCCTACTCCTACGCCTCCCAAGCCTGTCCTGCACCGTACACATTCTCCTCCCCCCGGACCGCGCTCGAAAACACCCATCTCCTACAAACCATCCATCTACTCTCCTCATCCCCCAATTCCGATTTCGATTCCGATTCCGACTCCGATTCCAAGACAAATGCGAAAATCTGGATAGATTTTAATTCGCTCGATACGAGGAATTGCTGGACGGCTGGGGGTCCCAATGCCTCGTGTCCGTATGGTGATCAGAGGTTGCTAGATGATATTAGGGAGAGGGAGGTTATTGTTCCTGTGGTGGCGGCGCTGATTGTGATGATTTTGACGGGGTTGGTTTTGGCGGGGAAGTGTGCGGGGAGGGCGAGGAGTAGGAGGGGGAGAGGGAGGAGGAGAGGAAAGAAAAGGGGAGGGGTGGTTTATGAAGGGGTGCCTGCTTGATGGGTTTGGTTTTGGTTTTGAGTTGTGTATATTTTTGTATTTATGTATTTATGTATATTTACCTGTAGCAATGTTGTATAGATAGTAAGCAGGTCACTTATGGGTAGAAGGTGTAGGCCTAGTCAAAGCATCCGATAATTTGGATTATAATTCAATAATAAATAATACAAGAGCATTTTTTAATACTACTCATCTTAAATACCGATTTTGTGTTCGAATTGATATATGGACGGTTATAACCTATCATATACATATACATATACAATAAAAAGTTTATAGAGCAAGGGAGCAAGTATATTGGGTGAATATTTCCATTCCAAACACCCTATCCCTACCTATCCCATCAGTAAAAAATAGAACAGATGCCAAAAAGAAATTTGTATGTCAGTCGATCAATTTAGTGACGGTTAGGTATGTCCACTACTGTACGCCTATCCTTATTCCTTCCCATCTCCCATTAATCCTGACGCCATGCTTGTATTCCCAGGTTGTTATTCCCAATTTTCCTATTGATGCATAGCTACCTAGTTGCAAAGTTTTCATTGGCTGCCTGTTTGTTATGATATATTCTAACGTCTATCCGACGCCAAACCCTACTCCACCAGTGCTACGCCTACTATAGACTCCGCGGTTTATAAGCGAATAGCTCTGAGACTCAATTTGAATAATTAATGGTGTACGGCATCTTCACTTGCCAAGCTTCCGACCTCAGTCCAACTGTCAGGTGTTACGATGCCATCATCCACACTCATAACATCGGCTTCACTGGTAGTACCACTTCTTGGATGCCAAACTTCCTCGCCTGAGCCAGCTAATGATGCAGAATCTGTAGGAGTAGCCATTCCATCTCCATCAAGAGATTCAAGAGAGGAATAATCAGGATCGGAGGAAGTGGGTGACGGAGGTGTCATTTGGGAAACATGAGTGGAAGTTGGAGTTGTGGGACGTTCGTGAGGTGTAACAGGGAGAGGAGAGTAAAAGCCAGTTGAGTTATCGGTATGATCGGCCCAAGCGTGGATGGAAGCAAATGGATTCTGAGTATCTTGTGCTCTTTCAGTATAAGTGGGCTCGGTTTCCATGCTTTCATAGGTAGGTACAGAAACTGGTGGGTCTGGAATGAATGGCTCCGAAATATCAACGAGTGTCTCTGTATCTTCGTGAGCCAAAGGTTCTACTGCTGCGAGAGTAGCGGTACTTTGTCTAGAGCGAGGTCGAGTTGGGCCTTCGTGTACGCTATATAGTCCTTCAGAATCCGATTCATATTGTTCGCCATCTTCAGGTGACATTAAATTCCTATCCGTGGCTTGTTGTTCCTCAATATCAATACCATGCTCGTCAGCAAATGGGTTTGCGTAAATTGTCGATCGATCCAAGCCTCTGACACCTCGTCGATGAGTAAGACCCTCTTCCGCTTGGCTATTCAAATCTGTACCAGTATTGTAAACGAAAGTTCCCTTCTCAGCATTCGGATCCTCTTGTAAGAAGTCCTCGAAACTCGAACTTCGACTTTTATTGCTTGCCGGTCTTTTCTCATTCATATTTTTCTCCTTCTCCATTTTTTCCATGCGTACTGCATTCCAGTACATCAACTCCTCTCTCTGTTTTCTTCTACTATCCTCATCGGCATCTACACCTGCTTCCGAAGCACTCTGTAAGAAACCCTCGGCATCCTCCGGTCGGTTGAAACGAGGTTGCCGACTACTTGGATTGATTTCATCGCCGAGGGAATGTAATGCAAGTGCTATTTTACGACGGACATCTTCCGCGAATTGTCGAGCTTGCGGTGATTCATATACTGCTATTGCGGCCTATTGCTTCTATTAATTTTCGGATTTCTTCATCGTGCATTGCATGCATTCTGCAAAAGCAAAAGAGGGGAAACTCACACCAACAGCCACAGCAACAACAATTACCGCACCTGAAACCAACACAGGATGATTAGGCATTTTTCCTCAATAAAATTTTGCAGAAGATGAGGAAAATATTTCGGAAAAAGATAAAGGAAACTTCTCATGAAGCTCTCATGAAGAGAATCGGATAGGAAAGTAATAGGAATCGGGTATTAAGTTGAGTGGAAGGATAAATGGTTGCCTCTGATGAGGTTGCGTAGACCAGCGCCACTTGCCTTGCAAGGTATTGGGCGATCTACGCCTATCACAGGATAAGAAACCAGTGCTGGATGAATATCACGGATTTAATTTGTGGCTTGCTTCCGATGCCGCCGTACAGTTACACGTACCTGGGGAAAACATGAAAGGCATATTGAATTTATCTGTCAATTAGATGAATATAAAAAGGGCAGAAAGGGAAAGAAGAGTAAGTATGAAAACAGGAACAATATTAGGAGATGATTAAGGGAACTTTAAGTTGTCAGATTATATAAAGAGGAAACTAAACGGAAAGTGTGGAATGGTAATGAATGATGAATGATGTTGGTTTTTAAAAAGTAGGCGTCATTAAGTATTTTCGGAGCGGGAACTCCACTACTTTTAATAGTTTGCTTTCTATCCTACTTGCGCCCGTTGGATAACCGCCCAGAGTAATACTAATATATACATACCCATGAGGAAGCTGAAAGCCCTGTTCTCTATGGTAGTATTGACATTTTACGGAATATTGGACAAATCCCCAATGAGAAGGTTGTTGGATTGTAATAAATAAATATAATCTTACATATCTACTTACTGTCTAGCACGCATAAGTAAATTGTTTGAAACCTTCTCCATCTCTTGATTCGTGAGCATATCCAATAAATAATGTAGAAATCAAACAAAGCATTTCTTGTGTCCCGCCAACAATTTTGGGTTCATGTTGTGCTGTTTGCGTGTTCTGGGGAGATTCGTCTATCTAGTCATTTATCTAGCATTTGCATATGTAAGAGTCTCACAACTGAGTCGGTGTATATGTACAATAAACGGTACAGTGTGATTCTTACCTTTCATGGGCTGGAGATATCATCCTCCACTATCGACGTATTTAGCACTCTCCGATAACACAATCTCTGAAACGCCAATCGATCAACGAAAGGTGGCCATGCTCAATTGAAATATCCTAGTCCTTTTTAGTTTAACAATTGCGGGGTGAAATTGGGGAACACAAATTTGGAGCCTCAATCTAGACCTTGTTGAGAAGTGTGCAGGACCGTCGATCCTAGCGAAGTAGTGTGTATTTATATATGAATCCACAGTTATATTTTAGATTCCCCCCTAAACCTTTAGGCGACGCGCTACATACAACGATATTAAGCTAGCTCGACATAGCAAGTATAATTATGGCTTTATATTGTCAAGTAGCTCCAATATAGAATCTTTCAGCAAAGATACAATAAATATATTCCCAGAATCTACAATACTGGCCTATGATCGAATATATCGTCGAAGAGTGTGGAGTCAAACTTCAAATTTATCTGATTTAGACAATATCTGAAAGATATATGACATGTTTCATAGAACAACTCCTCCAGTAGAGCATGAGTAGAATCAATGTAAGACTAACTATCGACTTTTCAAAGAGGTCTAAAATGTTTCCCCCACCATGGACAAATATCACAGCTCACCCAAAAGCCTCCATACATATCCTCACCCAAAAGCCTCCATACATATCCTCACCCATCCAGCTCAAATAACTCTCACAGAGCTCCCAACCTCAACTCTAATACCCGTCGAGAACATGACTGCAAGAGACACTCTCGAGTCTCGAGAACACAAAATGAGTATAATTATCACACTACACTTACCCGAAATCCAAACCCCCATCTAAGATCTAACTATCTACGACGAAAGTCTAAGCACAAACAGACAATCATCTCGAATATTTGTCATGACTCGGTAACGCTATACAAGTTCCATCAATTCTGGGAAAATTGGAAGAAGAATTACGCCATAGTACCCACAATTTCACCAAGTTTGAAGGACGAAGCCTCTGACCTGTACATTATGTTCCCAGTCTCTCCTGAAAGAGCTCAGAGCGACAATTGATACTAATGTTGAATAGGCAGAGGAATTACAAATGAACGCATAAGCCCACGCCATACGCTGAAAGAGTTCTAGTTGTAGGTGTGAAGAGGGGTTGTCTTATTATTGGACCTACGATTCATGATTATATAGCCCTACAATCATCGTACTTGCTATATTGGGCCTAACAACGCCTTCTCTTCTTTCTCTTCTTCCATAAGCTTCACTGGTTTGTTCCCTCTCCTCGATATCAAATAACGCTAGGGGCGGATCTGTTTTTTTTCTTCAAAATAAAGTAAAATCGCATCTCTCCCAATCCGACAGAACTTAGAATATCCTCACTTCTAAATATCATTGAGCCACGTTTCTCACAATTCTACAGCGCCAAGAAAGCAAAGCAATCAGAAATAAAAGAAATGAATGCTTTTAATAACCAGGAAAATGAAGAACTTGGAGAATATGAAAGGGTTGAAAGACTTGCAGATTCTAATAAGAGCCTTTTAAATTCATGAGATTCAAGACAAGGCACCACAAGATTTGAGTATTTATTTCCCAGATCCCGCCCTTGAAACTTATTTCGATGGTCTAGCAAGCGATTTGAGAAGAGGAAGGTGAATTGACGAAGTTGGGAAGCTGGGAGTATTTCAGTTTTAGTCCTCGGACTATGGTTTAATAGGTATGGTTGCAAGTTTGGGCATCAGATAGTCTGTTAGATTTTGATTTTGATTTCCATCTCAGAATCATAGAGTAGAGGCTCCCCAGACCAGGCGATATTTCAAAGATAGAGATAGGCTTGATTATGGAAATGTAGTATATCAGGATCTGATATGCTTTATATCAATGGGTGGAGGCAATGAAAAAATTGGATGCGATAAATGATATTAAATGAACAAGCCTCTATTCTTTTTCATTCTATAATAGGTAGCTCGGGTTAGCTAGTGTTTTGCAAATTCATCCAAAATCTATCTTCTAAACTATATGGGATTATCTAGAATTTGGTAACAGACTTTTGCCTGAAGCATGCCACACACTGAGGGTGATGCGACTGAAAACTATTGTTTCCACTACCGGAGCCGTAGCATCACTCAAGTGGCCACCTCTGCATGCAAGCTACAAAACCATATCGCATACCAAGCTCGTTATGCAAACTCCAAGCTGACAATTGGCGAGATCTCTCCGCTGCCGCCCTAAAATTGACATTAGATTAAACAGTCTCTTAGGTTGAAAGTCCTCTGACACTCTTTAATGTTCAAATCCAAAGTCAGTAATCCATATTCACTGAAACTTAGATGTCTAGAATTCTGATATGCAATTTATATCGTACTCCGCGTGCTCTGGCGTTTGTTTATTCGGGGTTCACAGATTTCATGGAGTCATCTTCCGTCTCCTCCGTTGCTGTGGTAGGTGTTGGTTCATCCCCTCCAGATTCGGACTTTTTAGGTGTGATAGCATCCTCCTTTTCAACAATTACACACTCTTCTTCTTCGGCTCTTCTCTGCTCTGCTTCAAGATGTTTCGAATAATCTTTCCAGAGCTGCTCTACCGGTCTTCCACAAAGCTCAGTCCAAAAGCGTTTCTCTTCGTATCGTTCAATCCTCAGCTTTTCATTGACCCTCCTTACTGTGCCTTTACCGAATCTCTTTTCTAGATAATCAAGAAAGTATCCTGTGTGTTGGTAGCCTGCATCCCATTTCCCACTCGCTTCTTTCTTCCAATGAGGTGGACTTAAATCAGCGTTCAGCCGAACCCAATCTGCAATTCCTTCAATCAAGCCACCGGGGCAAGTATTGAATCCATTATATTGATAGCAATGCACCATTTCGTGAGTCAACACGCCCATTATTTCATGCTTCTTTCGCTCCGATGCAATAGCATGGTGTATGTAATCTAGAGAGAAATGTATTTCTTTGTGGTCATCGTCGAGGTCGGTACCCGTTGTATATGCTACACCTTCCATGGAACGAAGGATGAGGGTCACCGATCGAGTTGTCGGAATAGTAGTGGTGCGACAATGGGGAGATTCATAAAGTAAGGTGAGAACGCTTCGAACTGCGGTTTTGAGAGCTTCGTTGGCTAGAACGGCGGTCAAGAAAGTCTGCGATCCTGCATGATTGAGGTCCCGTATCTCGAGACGTAACTTGGGTAGAGAAAATTTGGTAGTTTCAATGGACCTATCATCTTTAGCTGGCTGCGAAGCCGAGTTCCCTTTCGAAGGAGGCATTGGTGTAGGAGTTGGAGTTGGGGCTGGCGACGTGCTGGAGAGTTGAGGCATGAACACAGGTGGAGGAAGTGGACTAGTTGCGGGGGAAGTGGGCATGATGCAGGTGATATGTACTAGGTACTAGGTAGGGGTTAAAGGGGTTTAAAGGTTAAGGTCAAGGTCGCTCTTTGCAAGGGTCCCTTTGCGATTGTCCTTATATCCGGGAAAGTGGAATGGAGCTTAACTACCGGTATCCGTGATGAGAGTAAATGAGTAGCTTATAATTTGAGCTTATTTCAGAATGATTGACAGGTAACCCATCAACGGACAAGTACGTATCTAGGTCATTGGGTGTAAATATTTATTCAACAAATGCCCCAAAACGGAAATAAACATTGCAACGAGACGGAGAACGATCCTCTCATAGTCCGGATGTCCGACCAATAAGAATGGTTCATTAAATGATATCTCTTACCAATCTGACTGGCTTCTTTGTCGATGCAGGGGTTCTGTCTGATCGTATTTACATTAATAATGGGATTTTCGGACTAGTGTATTAAATTAAATGTAGCTTCCCCTGCCGGGGCAACCATAATTTGTTTTGAAGCGATAGAATTATCTCCAAGAGGGAATTTTGAAGTTACAAAAGTACAACATCTTCGTAAGTGACTCCAAATTTCATAATTTCTTAATGTGAATATTGTGCTACATACGGAGTCTCATTTCGACAAATAAGCAAATTTCATATTGCATAACTTCATTCTCTCTCACAATCACTGACAGCACATTTCATCTATAGATACGTATCCCTAGAATTGATCTTTACTGTTTCCTCCAAATTCACCCCACCTCAATCATGGGTGAAAAGATCACCGAAGATCAAGTCGCCAACCTGCTGGCAATACTGCGAACTGATGGGTCCGTAGATGCGAAGGTCAACCAAATTAACAACATCAAATCTAGTATCAAACAGCATAATGTTCCCGAACCATGCATCCTTTCGCTATTCGAAGCCTTGCGCATTGCGTTGTCGTCGCAGCACGCTGCTCTGGTCAACGCTGGATTCTCTACCCTCAATCATCTCCTCACCAGGTTATCACGTCAGGAACCAAAATATATCACGAAAGAGGCTGCACGGACTTTGCCCATGATAAATGATAAGATGGGTGATCAGAGGGAGAAATATAGACAGCTTGCTGCGCAATGTCTTACAACCTTCTGGAAGAATGCGCCGATGGATGTAGAAAGAATTGTGAAGAACGCAGGACTGGTCGGAAAAAACTCAAGAATGAAAGAGACTTCAATGAATTGGATTGTACAGGTAAATGGGTCGAGTTTTGCGCAGCGTTGTCTACATTTTCTAACGACTTCACTGAGTAGATGCACCAAGAGCATGGCATGCCATTCAAAAGTTTTGTAACTACATTAATGGAATTACTGGAAGATGCCGATGGCATGGTAAGAGATACTGCGAGAAATACTGTCATCACTTTATTTCAGTAAGTCTCTTCATATCAATCATTTTACTCTTGTATACTAACATGCAGCAGAAATGCTCCAAATGGGGCCAAATCAGATCTCAAAAAGCAATTGAAGAATTTCAATGTTCGCCCAGCGATCGTATCAGCTATCACAAGTCAACTTATACAAGCAGGACCCCCCGTGGTTGTGGAGCAGGAAAGACCTGAAGCCCCTATGCGAAACCCCTTAGCTACCAGCGCATCTGCCATGAACATCTCCAGACCAGCAACACCAGAAGTCAGGGTGGAGCAAGTGGAACCTGCATATGTGAATACACAGAGAGAACTAGAGGAAACCTTTCAGGAAATGCAGCAATGGTTTCAGGACAAGGAGTCTGAAGCTAATTGGTTAAAGAGAGAACAAAGTTGTACAAAATTACGGAGACTGAACGCCGGAAATGCCCCAAGCGACTATCACGATGCTTTCCTTGCTGGTATCAAGAGCCTCCTTGATGGTATTTTAAAAGCTGTTAACTCACTGAGAACAAGTCTCTCCAAAGAAGGGTGCAGTCTCGTCCAAGAGGTTGCTAGAACTGCTGGACCTGGACTGGATCCTATGGTCGAAATTCTGTTACAAAACCTCATCAAGCTATGTGGTGGTACCAAGAAGATCAGTTCGCAGAATGGAAATGCCACTGTTGATATTATTATTAGTGGTGTCACCTATAATCATCGAATTATGCAGCATATTTGGCTTGCATGCCAAGATAAAAATGTTCAGCCCAGAACATATGCCACAGGCTGGCTCAAAACCTTGCTAAAGAAGGAGGCGCAACACAAGAGTCACGTTGAACACAGCGGAGGCTTGGAACTAATAGAAAAATGTCTAAAGAAAGGTTTAGCCGACGCAAATCCTGGTGTTCGTGAGAATATGAGATCAACCTATTGGACTTTTGCTCAGATCTGGCCAGCAAGAGCTGAAATGTAAGGGCACAAGCGTTCCTCCTGGGGTTTACTGATAGTTAACAATTTTTAGAATCATCGAGGACCTAGAACCCACTCAGAAGAGATTATTAGAAAATTCTGCAGACAATCCTAATGCTCCAAAGAAGGCAGCGGCAGTCAGCACCAGGCCAGGCCTTGGTTTCTCTAAGAGCAGTACGGGACCTCCTAGACCTTCTTTGAGGGAGACCATGCTGGCCCAGAAAAAGGCACAAATGGCCAACAAGAATATTCCTTCTCGTCCTGGTTCTGCAATGTCAACGTTTTCTCCGACGAGGACCGTGCCAACTAAATCATCTTCAGAAGCAGCTCCCACACGACCATATCTAGAAGCTAATGCATCTCGGGGTGGTCTTTCTGTCGCACCCATGCGACCAAGTAAATCCAAGAGACCAGAACTCGCTCCTAGGCCTGCAACTGCTGGCCCATATTCTGTAAGAAGAACTAACCAAGCTTCCAGCGAAGCAAATGCCAGTCCTTCGTCATCTACAACCGCAAGACCACCAAGATCCAAAACTCCCGTTGCTACCAGTTCTCCCCAAGCTAGAAGGGCTCCGGTACCCAGACCTAACACAAGCCATACTAGTCATCCAACACAATCTAGTCAGCCAACTCAATCCACATATACAAGCCCTGCAAAAACTGTACCTGGAAAGGTTACAACGGCCTCTCCAAGGCTTGCTGCTTCTCCGCATATTAGTAGCCCTGTTAGGACAAGAACTAAATCAGTACCTGGGGCACCTCTATCTAGTCCCACACGAGCAGATGAAGATTTTACTATGGTTGTTCCCACCATTACAGGATTAGAGCGGATCCAATCTGAGAAAAGTCACCAGGTCTTTGACTCATCTAACAGAGAAGAAATCAAAGCTCCTGTCAATCAGCCAATGAAAGTTTATGAGGATCCATTCTCGAGCACAGATGACACAACTACTCCTAGACCCACAGTTACTGCATCCGTTCTAGAAGAAGTACCTGTCAATGAAGATGCTATGAATCTGTCAAGGAATAGTATAGGCGAACTCGATGGCGAAGGAATTAAGAATCCACCAATGTCTCCTGACAAGCTTAAGCAGACCACAAAGCTACTCGACAGTGGCATCGCCAAAATCAGAGGCAAAACTCTAGATGTCCACGGTTTCCGCAAACTTCAAACAATGATCAAAGATAACAAAGCCGTATGGGGAGATGGCAGGTTCCCTGCTCTTGTGATGGGTCTCTTCGAATATCTCGAAGAACCATTAACAAACCTCTCACCTGCGAAAGTGCAGGACGTCAAAGCACAAATACTAGCGACAATCAAAGTCTTGTACAAGAATTACCGAGAATATTTCCGACCACATATCGCAAAAGGCTTCCATTCTATCCTCGTCACCCGCTCTTGCTATGATGCACGCACTCACATTGTCAGTGGCCTCGAACTTCTCGCTGACGAGCTTGTTACACTCGCCAACCCCAAAGACACCATCAGTACTATTCTAAGATCTCTCTCTGACGAGGAAATGTCATTAGAAGGATGCCGAAAATTAAGTATGGGATTACACATACTCAAGCAGACACTAGATGTCAAATCGGAGGTTGAATTGGACGATGCGGAGATCGATAGTATCTTGGCGTTAGCAGCAAAGTGTCTTGAGAGCAAGGAAAGCGGAGTGAGATTGGATGCTGTGGTACTCTGTGTGAGTACCCATGCACGAATCGGAGAGGCTAGATTTTGGAGTGGAATTGGTGGAAGAGTGAGTGGGGATCCTAAGAGTTTGATTACATATTATATTGTCAAGAGGCAAAGGGAATTGGAGATGGGAAATTGAAGAGAAAATGATCAGGAGAGTGGGGTTTAGAGTGATGTGCAAAAAATGCAGAGGCCATGTGGTGCTGATGTTTTAGTGGAGTGGATGCGAAAGGTCTGTAAGATCCCAAGGTTATCTATTTTGACAGAATATTTTGGGATATTTTTTGGTCGGTATGATGGATTCTCTGGAGTGTAGCGAGCAAAAAGGGAGGGGAGTAAAAGGCGTTGTGCAGTGCACCTTTACATATTTCTGGTTATTGCCATAGGCGTTGAGGTTTCGGTTGAGTACATTTATATCTTGTAATGTTTTGATCTGATTATATTTATGCGGCTTTATTTGTGCATTTCCAATGATCACACACTATTACCGTTGATGATTTGAGGTCTTTTTGAATATTCTTCGCTTCTTTGATAGTACATTTTATTTGTTATTTATAAATGAATATCGAGCTGAGGGGGACAGGTAGGTAGGTGCACCTGATGGTGGGATTAAATGAATGAATAAATTGATTAAATGAAATAAAATAATTTTCCAATTAATACTAGGTAAATCAGTTAGGAATTTAAAAGATGAAGATTCATTTATTGGATTTATAATTAGGTAGGGCTGGAAAAGTAGAAGGAGTTGCGAATGAGAGGATTGTTTATTATCGATAGATATATGTATATATGTGTATCAATTTAGTTTATGATTTGTAGTAGATGTATGATGTAATAGGGCTACTATTTGATACTAGATGATGCGTATACTTAATTTTGTGGTATCTAGCTACTGTAGGTAGGTAGGTAGGTAGGTTGTGTTACACTGGGTGTTGATGTGTTGGTTGGGTTTTGGGTTTTGGGGTTTGGGTCTTGGGTCTTGTATAGGGAGTGTGAGTATGAGTATGGTAGGGGATATGGGATGGAATGGAATGATGAGAGTTATAATGGTTGATTAGTAGATACGGAGTATAATAGATGATTTTGTCTTGTTAATGAAGATGGTATGGTATGGCTTGGTTATGAGGGCGGGCTGTTTATTACGGATGATCAATTAGTTTTGTTGGGAAGCTGCTGATTTATGAGTAAGTAGCATTGAGGCGAAAGGTAAATGTTTACTGGTAATATCTTGTTTCGATATGATGCTTACAGTGAGTGCTTTTAGCATACAAGACTTGGTTTTAAGCATAGAAAACATACCTACAATGAACCCTACAACAACTCTACAACTTACGCTTCTCTTAAATTTGGCATCCATCAGCGTTCAAGAAGGGGCTGTTGATACCTTTCTCCCACGTGATACCCTAGATATCCCTTGCTTTCCAACCAACGAACAGGCCGCGGTACACGGTACATCGGCTGCATGAATGGCTGGATAAATCGTAATCTGCATCAGCGAAATCTCGCCAAAGGTCTAGAACGGAATTCTATGCTTATGATTTTCTCGCCACAATTAATTTCTTCTGGGTATTGGAAGAAGATGGGATGATGATGTAGATGTTGGTTTTGAATACTTTGTACTGCCTCTTTCCCTAGAGAAAAAGAGTATTAGAATATCATTATTGCTACATAGAATCTAATTCTAGTATTTTTATCATACTGTAAGTGGGGCAGTGATTGATAGGCTATCGAAGGCGGTTCCATTTCGTAAACGCCAGTTTGCACTGGGTCTTTGACTCTGTGGCGCCCTGGGAATCAAAATCCAGGCGTTTCCTCAAGGAGGATTGTTCATTATTTTCTTGCTGAAACGATGTGTGATGTGTTTAGGATATAGATAGATAGCGGCATTACCGAGTTGGCTCTAACGAAGTACTCTGTAGGTTCTTAATTGTATAATTTAGGATGGGATGGTCCAGGTAGATACGGAGTACATGGACGGTTTACCTAAATAGTAAGTTCTTAATTACTAGGTAGGTATGTTTCATTCATCTGATGAACTCTTTTGTACCCACCCTGGTCGGCTACGTAAATTGCATATCTGTCTAACTTGGGGGGTTAGGAGGTTCGAGGTAAAGTTTCGAATCCAAGGGGTTTTGGTCAAACTGGGGATGTGGATGTGGATGCGTGGATGTTTCAGTGAGGTTAAGCGTCGTTCGTGGTTTTGTGGGATGGAGCTTGAGTGAATGATGTACCTAGGTACGGAGGATGGTATTGATATGGTGTAGTCATTGGAGAGACGCAGGAGAGATAGAGGTTTTGACTCTGGAGGTACAGTGCTAAGGCCCTAAGGTACAACATAGACGTTTGATACTCCGTAATTTTCAGTGGATCGATCTGCTCTAGCCTGAACTTAATAACTGCTTTTTACTACACTCGTATTTACAACAATAACAAATTTCAAACTTCTTTATAAAGTTTCGTACAATGAAGGAATTCTCTTTTTGGCTTTGAGTGCATAGAGTGCATGGTAATAATCTTGTAATACGAAGAAATACCATGTCATCTCCAGATTCTTGGGAATTGGTGGGCAAATAAGTAGCTAGCCATATCGGTGATTTCACGAACGGATATCAATATCAGTATCCTAACCCGGACATACACGATCTGATCTCATCATTTTATAGGTATGTATCCATCACCTCTTTAGTATCTTTGAGCACGCTTCTCAGCATGGAAGATAATTATCTACTGGAAGAACCATGGGTTACAGCATAAATAACACGAGATGAAGGATACATTGTGGAAGTGTATATCGCCACGATCATCTTCTCTGAATGCCACACACAGTGAACAGGCGAATGAAAAGCGTCCCGGCTGAAGGTTCATTGCGACATCTCCTTGGTTGCGATCTTTATTTGAAACTCTTCTAAAAGTGCCACCATGCAAGAATAATCGAATCTCGTAGGCTAAACACTCTCTTGGTTCCATGTACCCATGGGTCCTTCCTGGTCTCCGATCAAACTCTAGGGATGTTTGGAACATTGAAATGTCGGGTCGATGGTACTCTATAGTTATAGGCTGAGTTTCGAAAGAGTTGGTAATCATGTACAGAATATACCTGGTATTTAAACAAAACATGAGGTACACAAGGCTTCCCGTCCATCGGAATCAATATGTACAAATCGTCAAGGTAAAGGGAGAAGGAATACCAATATTCCTTACTGTAATGATTCTTCCCAATACTTTTGCGCCATGAAGGAGAATAGGGATATCCCGACGGAGGCACGAAGATAAAATAACTAATATTCTCCATTAACAACTGCAGATCAGCCCTGCAGCGATAATTAAACCTTTGGTAATTTGGTATCTCGAATGGTCATCCCTCTTTGATCTACCCATGAAATCGGTTCACGGTATTGTTGAACTAAGATACAACGGCATATGGAATATATTGATTTTCCATTTTCCATAGACCACCATAAGCAATCAGGAATTAATTAAAAATATAAACCCAGCGGTAAGGCTAGGCGGTTTCTTGAAGTCTGGTATAGTCGAAGGAGCGATCTCTAATTTACGCCTTAAATTACTAGATATATAGGTAAATAGGTAAGATCCTACTATCACTGAATGACAAGTAAATATAAACATAATCTCTGTATCAAACCTTACTACTTACTCTGTATGGCCACCGATTTATGCCGGGGATAAAGTCACCATTACAAACAATTGATTCACTATTTTGGATGGGTATGATAGTGGTCTGGTATGTTAAACAGTCCTCACTCACTATCTTGGACTTATAAGGGCTCGGTCTTGTCTCATCTCACGACTTTCAACTCACTGACACCCACACACAAACACACACACCCACTGGCCGACCCCTCTAGAATATATATGCTGAGTCGCTAAAAGGTCATCAGCCTTTATCAGCCTTTCCTCCCGCCTTCTGATTACTACTGTATCAATTTTAGTTGCAGTACCGGATCGAATCCTTCAAGGGTTTACCTCATCTCACATCTCACATCAAGGGATATCGAATCGAATATCTAGACCACTCAACTTCCTCAAGGGTACGCACGAATGCACCCAACCAGATTCACAAAAACATTACACTACGACCGCGGGGTGGATCACACCGTTTGGCATACGGAGTAGACTTCTTTCACTAAAGTACTAGTCTAGCCTTCTTCATTCCTACTTCACCCTAGTTCCTCTTCTCATGTTGGTACAGGTACCAACCCGATTATTGATTAATAAATAAATACATTTTAACAGCAGGCTGAAGAAAAAAAGTCTTAAAAGATCAAATCAGATCAATTCGAGTCGAGTCGAGTCGAGTCGAATCGAATCGCATCACATCCCATCTCATCGCATCGCATCCATCTTTACTGCTAGTTGACAACGGTGGATTCTCTTTCTCATTCTTCATTCATCCCTCATTCTTTTCCCCTACAATTGCGACATTTATTCTCTCACTTGTCTGTTCTCAAAACAATCAACGTTAACCCTTCAACCCTTTTTCTCCACCCAATTTGACCCTCATTGACCCTCATTTGACCCTCAACCAACTTCGCGAATCAAGCCTCCAGGAACCGTTTCTTTAATGATCGTCTATTCTCACTAGTTTCTTTTTCCCCTTGCGAACTTGCATACTGTTACCTCCGTACACAATTCTCGAAGCTCCTACCGACCGTGCGCTTCTGCTTTGGAAACATATCCCGACACGACAAACTTTCAACGTCGAGGGATCGCATCTGCCAATTCATGTTCAGCTTTGATCTCCTGTCCGTGATACTCGAGGAGGAAGTGCATCTGCAGAAATAGAAGCTTGACAAAGGGTTCCTTTCGAGGTCCCGTATACACTGGGAGAGATGGAATCGCCGGACAATAGTACATATCTGGAGTCCCCTATGGAGGGTGACGATGTGGCATATCCGTGTAAAGGATGTGGTGATGTGAGTGTTCCCGTCCAATCTACCAAGAAGTTTTACGAATCTGCCACTAAAAAGTGAATTTTTTTTTTTGCACAGATCCTCGAGGAGGGAAAAGCCTTCGAACTTGGTAAGTTCTGAAAAAGAATTCCACCCATCGATTTCTATCCTATGCGCTACGTTACTTTATTTGATTTGAGCCTCGAGTTGTACATTGAACATCCAGGAAATCAATGAGATGAACCCTCTAATTTCAAAATTCAACAATTCTAACGAACCTGTAGCTGGCAATCGATGGCATTTAAATTGCTTCCGATGCAATACCTGCGGAACCCTCCTGGATTCCGATGCGAATTTGTTACTCCTGGGTGACGGATCCCTTATCTGCAATAATTGCACTTACAGCTGCAGTGCTTGCAATAACAAAATTGAAGACCTTGCTATCCTCACCGGTGACCAAGCATTTTGTGCAACATGCTTTCGATGCAGGAACTGCAAACGTAAGATCGAAAACCTTCGCTATGCCCGCACATCACAAGGAATTTTTTGTATGAGCTGTCACGAATCACTAATGGCTAGGAGACGTAAAAAGTCAAGGGCTGCCGCGAATGCGAAGAAAAAAGATGATCAATCTCCCATGCTAGTTGACAAATCACTACCTGCCCTACCACCGAACGCAGTTCCACAAAGCGCCTTCTCTCCTGAACGTGAGATTTCGGACCCCCACAACGCGGACAACCCTACAGAATTATCCCCCAGGCCGCGGCCAACATATCCTCGTACAGACTCATCATCTAGGAGCAGTTCTCGAATACCTCGCGATGATACGTCCTCTCATCGAGCATCCACCGATACCGCAGGCCGAGATGGATTAACGCTTCCAACGACGACCTACCGGAACAATAGATATTCAGGAATTTCACAAATGTCGGAGCTTGGAAATGGTGATGGAGAGAGCTTTTTCATACCTCTCGCATTGGATCCAAGCCCTGCGCCATCCTTGACACCAAGATCAGCGTCGACATCATGGGACGCAAAGAAAGCTAAAGAGAACCAAGCACCAGATCGAGATTACTTTGGCTCAAAAGAAAATAGACGAAGTCAAACTGATCTACAGCCACCGAGACGATCAAGGGATTCGAGGGATGTGAGCTTGGCTTCGACACCGCACATTGCATTTCAAGAGAAGAGTCAGCAACCATCCGAGGAACAGTTAGCACAGATCAAGGAAAGCATACGCAGGGCGGCAAATGGCACAGGAACGCCCGTTAAAGAATCGTCGCCTTCTGCCGGTGATGATACTTTACTGCAACATGCAACCTCACCGATTGGTGATGCCCAAGATGGAAAGACACAATCTCCAAGTGAAAATTTTAGATTGGGAGATGTGCCCAAGGGAAAACGGGCTGTGCCAACGAGAAACGACTCGCAATCAGATTACACTGGCAGCGAGAGCAACTCTTCAAAATCTGCTGTATCTAACCTACCTCCCAGGAAAGACAGCAGCGCGGCAAGAATGGAGTCCCCCAAAACGTTATTGGCTGCGGATCAACTCACCTCCAAATCTTCACAGGAATCGCGATCAAGGGACACGGAAAATTCTACCATTACAAGGGTCGATTCTGGAAGCTCCAAAAGATCCATCCCCCGTAAGGAACTAACCTCAGGACAAGTGAGAAGCAACGTCAGTACAATGAGCTTATCTTCTGGAACAGATACCTCTCCATCCACGGAATCCTCTTCAGAAGGGGTAGCTCAAACCCCAACCGTGAATGGCAAATCAATCTCTGGTCCCCTGCTACAGTCACCTATTGATGATATGACACCTCCAAATCGACCAACACGACCTTCTATCCCAAAACAACAGCTAAGTGATACATACATGACCCCAAGAGCACCGCCCGCGCCGCCGTCGGCGGGCTCAAATGGTGCAACTTCGTCTCCCAACTTACCCAGGTGGAGTGCTGGGGCTGATCTCACCATGGATGAAGATATGGCTCGAATATTTGGTAATGATGAAGGCTCACAATCTATAATTCGAAGGGTTTCCAACGCCGTACGGCACGTTCGGAACACAAGTAATGAAGCAAGCAATTCTGCTCGTGGCCATGGCCGCAGCGTAAGCGAAACAACTGCGCGCACTCCTAATTCTCCACGATGGCCAAAAACACCCATCATTGAGGACACTAGCGGACCTCGAGATATCAGTAGCCCAATCTCTATAAACTCACCAAACCCTGCGGATGATCCTGCTTTGTTAAGGAGACAACTTCGAAATTCTGAACAAAGGGTAGCAGAACTTGAAAGGCAATTTGTTAATGAGAAAGATTTGAAAACACTAAACAAAAAGCTCATCGAGAAGCGAAAAACTGTCTCGGTCCTAGATTCTCAAACGGAGCTTATGATTCGCCAATTGGAGGTTTTGGCTGGTTATGTGGAACGTGCGAAAGGTTCGAAACAACCACTTGACATAGCTGAGCTGGAAGATTCTGCTATCAAAGAATTCGTCCAAAAGCTTGATCGCCTTAAACAATCAATGTCTACCTCAATTGAACAGCTTTTTGAAGAGCGAGATGAACTTTTAGAAGAAAAGAATCAAGCTATCGCCGATCGTGATAGAGCCTTGGTTGAGTTTGAGCAATTGTCATCCAAAAATGCACAACTTGCAGATATGAATAATGATCTTACACACCAGATTCAGGAACGCTTCAAGTCGGCGAATACCAGTATGGAGAGCCCAAGGCCACCAATGAACGGTCTGGGAATCTACACTCACCACAATAAGGATAAATCTAACGTTTCCGTTCATCTAGATAATGCAAGTCTCCGCCCATCTGAAAGCAGCAGCACAGCCTACAATAGTTCAATTCATAGCTATCCACATGCAATGGAACAGGACCCAAGTATGGAGCCAGCTACACTACTATCAGCTCCTCATGTCGTCAACATTCGCAAGGGTCAGGCAAAGAAGTTCAATTGGAAGAAGGGTGGCCAAACTGTTGCTAAGGGGGTCACTAAAGGCTTCAAAGGCGCTTTCTCAAGTGGACCAGAGCGAGGCATGCATCAATGGCCAGGTCAATTTGGTGATAGCATCGGTATGCCTTACAATATGACCATGGAGCAGGTGCAATCTCCCGCACCAAATGCATCTGGATCAAACTTACCCAGATCCATATCGAATGATCCCTCCCGACAGGGTTTTGGTTTATTCAAGAAAACACAAACAATGTCGAAGTCGATGTCTAGTGGTAATATTCTTGCCGCTGAAAGTCCGTCAATCTTGTTTGGCTCTGATCTCGTTGAAAGAGCTGATTATGAGCGTCGACAAATTCCAAGCGTGGTTACTCGTTGCATTGAGGAAGTTGAGTTGCGTGGAATGGACATTGAGGGTATCTATCGAAAAACTGGAGGTACTGGTCAAGTCAACCTCATCAAAGAGGGATTTGATAGAACTGAAGATTATGACATATCGGATCCTGATCTTGATATTACCGCGGTTACGAGTGTCTTGAAGCAATATTTCAGGAAGCTACCCGTACCACTTTTAACCTTTGATGTCTATGATCGCGTTTTAGAATCAATTTGTAAGCTCAATCCTTTGCCTTGTTGAACACTATTCGCTAATGCAACTACAGCCATTGAAGATAACGCAGAACGTTGCGCACATCTACGAAACACAGTCAATATGCTACCTCCCAAGCATCGTGATTGTCTTGAATTTTTGATCTTCCATCTTGTGCGTGTCGCAAAGCGAGAAAGCGAGAATTTGGTATGTTCATTTGTACACAATGATTCTTATATACTAATATGTTACAGATGACACCCAAGAATCTGGCAGTAGTTTTTGCGCCGACGATTATGCGAGATCACAGCATAGATCGTGAGATGACAGATATGCACGCCAAGAATCAAGCCGTTCAATTTGTTATCGAGAACAGTTACGATATATTTGCCAGCGCTTAGAGAACCTTATACTTTTACCACGAATCCTCGATGACCTTACAATTTTTGAATGATAAAGAAACTTTTTAGTCTTTTCTTTTTATTTTATGTTTTATTTGGAGCGTCGGATGCGCAGAAAGCGTGGAGATGTATATCCTTTTTTGCATCATGTTTAGCACAGGTGATGGGTAGGGCGTTAGTTCTGGAAAGCGAATGAATGATAGTCAGATCTTTTTTTGATTGACAAATAAGTCGATTAGAAAGAAATATTTACATTTTAATGTCGTCTTTTTTTTTGAGTACCTAGTTTGCTTGCTTGCTTGTGTCTTATTGATGATTTGCTCCGATTTGATATTTGATGGGTGAGGATTTCGGAAGTATGACTTATTTGTCTTTTCTTCTTCTTGGAGGTTGAAGTAGGTTTGGTTTGGTTTGGTTTGGTTTAGTTTAGTTTAGTCTAGTTTAGTTTAGTTGATGATGAGTGAGTGGTGAGTCTAGTTGAAGATAGTGAGGGATTTGTAGTAATTTAATTGGGATTAATTATTCAATTGGAGCTAGATGTTTGAATGTTGAGAGGTTATGGTTTAGATTATGTGTTGTGTGTTGTGTGTTTTATTAGTGAGTGTGGGTTTTTCATTAAGTAAATTAAATACTCTGTTTTCATTGAACTGATTGATATTCTTTCGTGTTTTTATAAATGGATTTGAGATGGGGTTGCTGGGAGGATGTGAGTTTATATAAGTGAGTTTATCTATGGCTGGGTGTGAGATGGGATGAGATGGGATGAGATGGGTGTTACGAGGTTTGCCGTCTAGATCACGTGGAAGTGCTCTAGGCTCTCGAGGTGGTTTATAACTAGGCTTCAAGCAGGGACTTAAGTAAGGGCAATGATGATATACAATTCGTAACTAATAGTAGAGTATACTAAATGATTGATCTTGAGCACAAAGCGCTATACAAAGGAAATCCATACTGAATATATAGATATTCATGCTCCCTTGGATCCTTTTGGATCCTAAGCTCCAAAGGCTCCATTGGATCCTTTTGGATCCTCAAGCTCCAAAAGCTCCAAGTCACGTGTTTTCTGACAGTGCGTGCGCATATGATCCTAAAGTGACCCAGATCACATATTAATTCGATGAAATCTGATCGCTTTTGCACAAGGCCCAAGCTCTCCCCTAATTAGTCAGTTGTTACTATCGTAACAATGGGATGAGGTTGAGTTTGAGTGTGAGGTTCAGTGTGTATGATTTATATTATGGAAAGAGATATAGATATAGATCTGAAAAGTAAAAAGAAATAGGGTGCTGTAGATGGGGAGGAGAATGAGTCTAAGCGTAATGCTTTATACATAAGTCAAGGTTAAGGTTAAGATCATGATTAAGGTTAAGCGAGAGATTCGCTTAGTGCAAGGGAGAAAGAAGAAGAATACTTTACTATTATATTATATTATATTATATTCTATTATATTTGTTACAACGGCTATCTTCTATGCCGCGTCACATGACTAAACCAAGGTAACGTGATTAAAGTCACGTTATGGACCGCTGAGGAACGCTGGCTGTCCAGGAACGTTGGCTGTCCAGGACCGCGCAGCGGTCCTGACTAGCCATAGGCATGAAGGTCTATATAATCAAGATGGATTCCCTTTGTATAGAGCTTTGTGCTCAAGATCAATCATTTAGTATACTCTACTATTAGTTACGAATTGCATATCATTATTGTCATTACTTAAGTCCCTGCTTGACGCCTAGTTATAAACCACCTCGAGAGCCTGGAGCACTTCCACGTGATCTAGACGGCAAACCTCGTAACACGTGTTTAAGTCACGTTATGGACCGCTGCGCGGTCCTGATTAGCCATAGGCATGAAGGTCTATATAATCAAGATGGATTTCCTTTGTATAGAGCTTCGTGCTCAAGATCAATCATTTAGTATACTCTACTATTAGTTATGAATTGCATTATTGTCATTACTTTAAGTCCCTGCTTGACACCTAGTTATAAACCACCTCGAGAGCCTAGAGCACTTCCACGTGATCTAGACGGCAACCCTCGTAACATTGCACTTCACTAGAACTTAGATAGTGAGTGATTAATATACAAGACCAATATAGCCTCAGTTCTGCCCTATCAGCTTCCCACTATTCCCTGTGTAAGGTCATTCCTTTTAACATATTATATTATATTATATAATTCTTTCAGCTTTTTAATCTTTTAGTCTTCTAGTGCGGATTTGAAGACTTATAGTCTGAGGAATTTTATATTCTGATGATTTTACAGGGGATGCGAAATGTGGGGGAGTGTGACGGAAACCCCTGCTTTCCTCTCACCCTTATTATATAAGAAACCTCAGGTACATTAACCATGTCCACACATGATACGATTACTCGGGGATTAGTATACGATTTAGGTGGTCTAAGGATCAGATCCGGACAAGTACTAGGTATCAATGGTTATCGGTAAAGTAAGATCATTGAAGGGATAAATATGACTGTCACGATTCACCATCACGTCGGACAAGTAGGGATCACGTGATGGAGCCTCTAGGAGCATAGGCTCCTCCAGGCTCCTGGAAAGGACCAGTATATAAACATTCATTATTTTCATAGTATAGGAGCTTCGTGCTCAACTTAGTTATCAATTAGTTTTCCTACATTCTACTTGATCTAGTAACGAATTCACTTCCAGGTGAATACCATTGATAAAGCCTTAACCCACAACTACCAATCCGACGAAACCTTAGGCAGCCGCTGCCTCCAGTACAGTATCGTTACAATGACTTCTTTTTGCCTAGCTATTGCGGCTAGGCTATTCATTTGTGTATATATAGAGTAGCTATCCCTACCTACAGGTGCTCTTCACCTGTAGATTCTAAGTTAGATACAATTGCTGGTCTATAAATACCCTTTTGGTCACAGGGAGATTTGTGAAGGTGATTTTTCTTTTATTTATCTTATTTTTGAGAAATATAATTGATTAATTAATTAATTAATTTGTTAAAAGGAATGACCTCACACAGGGAATAGTGGGAAGCTGATAGGGCAGAACTGAGGTAATATTGGTCTAGTAGGTTAATCTCTCTTCTAAGTTCTACGGAAGTGCGAAGCTCTCTGTAAGAGAGCTTCTCAATCTAGTCCTAACAGGACTAGTGCCCTGTGCACGTGCTACGCAGGAACCATTCACTTTAACATAATTGTATATTTATTGGAATATTTAGTAAAATTAATTTAATTTGTAAGTTTCTTTTGAGTCCAGCAAGAACTTTTTATTTGGATTTCTTTTTAGTTTTTTTTTATGTTTGTATATGTTACGAGGTTTGCCGTCTAGATCACGTGGAAGTGCTCCAGGCTCTCGAGGTGGTTTATAACTAGGTGTCAAACAGGGACTTAAAGTAATGACAATAATGCAATTCGTAACTAATAGTAGAGTATACTAAATGATTGATCTTGAGCACGAAGCTCTATACAAAGGAAATCCATCTTGATTATATAGACCTTCGTGTTCTAGCTGATCAATAGGATCAGTATGGCTCAGTACTGAGCTTGCTGATCCTCACTGAGTCAGTCACATGATATTGGTAGCATGTGAGCGTCTTCTTGTTACCCGGCGTAACAGTATATATCTTTTATTATATAGTAATTTTATAAATAATCGTTTTTCGTTACTAATATTCATCCATCCATCTATTACTTTCTCTTCAAATCAATCATAATCTTCTTAATATAAATTCTCAATTAACTTTTTGGTTATATTTTCATAAAAGTAGAATCTATAATTCCAACAAGATCTTTAACCTGGCTCGTTTTATTGGTTCGAGGTTTTTTCGGTCGACCTTTTTTCTTCTGTCTTGATAACCTCATCAATGGCTTCGAATTCATCTACTTGTGATCAGACAGTAATTGATATTCGACGAAACTTATAAAAATCTTGGAAGCTAAAGGTGCTAAGAATACAATGTTTTTGAGTCAAGTTATGTTTGTGGATTTACAAGTATCGTAGGAATCTGTAGTTATTTGTTCTTGGTCTATGAATTGCTTGAATTTGAATGAGGTATAAATCCTTGAAGGGTTAGTTCTTGTAGAAGAGATACTTTTGAATCTCGGGACAGACCTTCCATAAAAAGAAATTATAATACCCATTCACAGTAACTTGATCAGCGGGAATATATCGATGATATTTTATACATATCTACCTCTACGCCAGCTATTCAATACGGGCTCAGTTCGTATAGAACCCCCGACTTTTTAATAGAATATCTACCTACTTCCATAGAACTGAAATCCTTCGTCTAGATCTCTGTACTTATTAAATAAGCATTAATTAATCACATCTTGGAGAATCATCTCATTTCCTATTGCCTCAGGCGCTTGTAACCGCTTAATCAGCATTTTCGTCCCCAGTATCATCGAGGCTCATCGCGGAAATTTTGGAATAATTTTTCTTCTCTGCATTTCCTTTTCTTATACGCATCCTGCTCAACGATAGCTGGATTTCTATCCTTACTTCCACGAATATTCCGACATGGCGCCTATGTCCAGACTTCGATATTGGCGGGTTGTTGTTTTGTGGTAAAAAATGGCAAGAGTATGAAGATAAAAGCTGCAGAGGAGTAGCTTTTGAGTATTATCTAAAGCAGTGGAGTTTTCAAAAATTGGGAAAAGTTGTGGATAGTAAGTGCTGATAGGTTAGTATTGGGATAGAATATTTATTTGAGATGCTTAATTCTCGATTCATGGTAAACATTTATAAAAAAGAATGGTTTTGTATGACGAGTTTTAATTTGTTAGAATTTTGAAAAGAAGTATAGTTAGTATAGTGGCGCGGATAGCATAAAAACATCTCAGAGGACTTGATGGGACTTAATACGGAGTAGTCCAAGGGTTTTAAGAGCAGGATGAAACCACCTGCGAAAGAAAAGATAGATCAAACTTCTCGGGAGCATTGTGGTGTGTCATTTAAACTAATCAAGATCTTACAAAAAGTCGGATAATCCCGAGATTATATTGAGTGAATCAATGGCCTGCGTGCGATTGGAGGTATAAGTGTCTGGGAAGTCGAATATTGTTATTAACTTCATCTATTCTTGTTTAACCACCAGATAGATTCCCTATCATCTTTGAAACAGAGAGGAATTCGAGGAGCAGATCTCATAGCCCAAAAGACAACAACATGGGCTAAGTACACATGGCTGGCTGAGTAATAGCATCTGCTAATCCGTCAATCAAAAGGCACACTACCAATTAGTTTCGAGGTGAGTTGAGAACACACATCTTCTATATTTGTAAAGAAATACTGAAATAGGAAAGGGCAAATTTGAGCATATATTAGATCAGAGCCTTAGCGATCCATCATCAGCTACCAACCGCCTTCCTATTCATCAAACTAACTTCCTTCCTCTACCAATTAAAACCAACCCCCGCACCTTGCAAAAAACTTCCAGAAGGCATCTCCTTAACCAATAAAATGCTCAAAGTGACCCAATACCCCTCTCAAAGAAGCTTCAATTCTCTCCTCCACTTCCACTCCTCTCTGACCAGCCTCAGCGGCTTTGCGTTCCATCTCGGCCCTGGTTTGGTATGCAAGAATCTTATCCTGTAGCTTCTTTTTTCTTTCGGCAGATGCTGCGAGTTTTTCCTCAATTTTTCGATACTCGGTGAGCATTATTTCTTTGAACTCAGTGGAGTAAAGATCTTTGTGTGAGCTTAGTGCGGTGCCTGTTTTGTTTGTGAGTACTAAGGGGAAGGAATTTATTTTCATGGGTGTATTCGGTTCATCAAGATATCTTTTTGGGGTTACTGGCTCGACAGGCTTTCGGGCAAAGGTTGAAAAAGAGAAATTTGGGAGATGATTCTGACTGTGTGTTAGTTTTTCTCGGGAAATCAAGATAGGAGTACTTACCTTATCTATGGCAGCTTGTGGCAGAAAACCACTGTGGCTGTTGCCTGATGCTTTGACTGGAGTTATATCAAGCCGTGGCTTTTTGGGTATGTTTGTGTCTCTCGAAGCACTACCAGTTTGTGCATTGAATACCCTATCATTGTCTGTCAAGATCAGGCTTTGTGGTCTGGGTCTTTTGTGAGCTGAAGCTTCTTTCGCTGATGTTTTCTTTGCTGCCTGCAATTTCTGTCTTTCAATCAATTGGTAGACAATTCTCGATTCTTCCCTCGTCCATTACTCTGATGTTCTCTTCTTCTTTTGACTTCCCACAATCTTATCATCAAGTTCTCTACTTTCCTCATCCCCATCTGTGGAATCACCTTTAGATTCATCAGGATCAAAATCGTCAGAATCAGCATTTAGATGTTTATTGTTTCCCCATCCTTGTAAATTCAACTTACACCGGCCATCATGTATCCGAAACCAGATTTGATTGCAAGCAGCACCGGTTCTTTCTGTACCAACTCCTAATTCATAAAGCTCAATGGATACTTCATCGAATAAAGTCTCAATGGAGATTTCACCATTATCAACTCTTTCTTGGTATTTTTCCACAAGCTGAACCAAAACTTTCTCTTCCTGCTCAGTCCAAACCAAATTTGGATCTGTATTTGACGAAGTTGGATCCGGTTCGTGTTTCATTTTTGTTGAAAGCCCTGGGCTATGAAGAGAGGAGTCAGTGATATTGCTTTAAGAAAGTTACTAAAGATAAACATATTCAAACTGAGTGCAGCATTGCACGATACAAAAAAGATAGTGATCATTACTTACTACTGACCGTAAGGTAGGTAAGAAGAGGTTACAAGAGAGCGACGAACCATATTGAGGAAAAGTGATCTCGGGTGTCGGGTGTTGGACTTTTAGAAAAATAAAAAGGATGGAAGAAACAAGTTGAGGATTAAATATTAAGTGCCAAAGCTAGTCATACTAGTGGCGGGGACTAAACTTCAGCTCTCAGTGTTTAAAAGTTGAAATAGATGAAAGTTAAGTGAATTCAACGAATCATTAAGCTAATCAGACCTCAAAACCTGAGTGATAGGCCAAAGTCACAGCTAGCAGATTCTTACTCTCACTTCCAAGTGGATAAGTATAGTATCAATACTTGTAGGAAACCCAATCAACTCTCATTGTCATGCACTGCAACCCTGCCTGAATCTGTGCTCATCAATCAAAGCATTCATCACTACGATTTCAACTATGAAGATATCTCTCTAAATGCTTGCAAACTTAAACATGCGGCAATCACACTCTGCACTTACATCTAAAACTCCATCATTACAAGCTCTCAATGTGTCTACGCAATAACTCCAATTTCCGTTCGTCTCCATCAAGTTGTCTCTTCAAAGTCTGAACGGCCAGAAGGTTCTTCCGGGCCTCGTGCTCGTGCTTCTTGATATCGTCCCCTGCCTCCTGTATCGTCTTTTGGCATTCTTTGTATTCTGACTATAACCTTTGTCGCTCTTGCGTACAGAGATCCGCAAAGTTCTTCGAGAAGCCGAAATCAAGGTTTGATGATTCGGAAAGTGTTGACTTTGAGAAAGAAGTCATACTTTCGAACTCTTACTTTATGGGTTTCATTGTAAACGGTGTTGCCATGGGATTCATTGCAAATGATGTTGTTGTATGATTCGTTCGGGAAGCAATGACTGGCGAAGCTGAGTGAAAATTGTCGTTATGTGGGCTCGTCTGGCGTTGCCTTTTCCTTGAATGTCCTGTTGATCTGACTGACTCGCTTCTGCCATTCTTTTTCTCGAACCATGTCTTAAAAGAACAATTTTAGCATTCTATTTGAAAATAATACCAAAACTGAGCACATACCTTCACTTCATGGGGGAGCAGTTCCACTTTTTCTGCCAAAGCAGCTTCTGTTTCATTATCTGGGTGCTTGTTGATCTTATAGGCAACCTCAAGCTCGTCTTGCTGTGCTTCGGTAAGAACAATATCTAAATCGCGCTGCGCTTCTTCTTCGACGTATTCTTCCTGGATCTATTATTAAAGGTTAGTATTGACTGTGCAAAGGAGATAAACCATAAAAGTGCAACTTTCATTATAACCAAACTAATTGCGCTTGACTGCCCAGTGACTAGCACAGGCGACCCTTGTCCTTCTTTGAAATCCTCGAGCTTCAAGGTTGCGAGCGATCGCCTCCCATCGATGTTCAGCGAGGCGGCCGTCATATTTATTGTCTTCAAAGTTGGCTTTGTACTGCTGGTATAAGCACTGATCTTCCTGTGGCGTCTTCATTATATTTTCTTTCGCGAGTCCCTCCGAAATGAGCTCGAAAATCCTTTCGGAAATTTCTGGCTTCAAGCCTTCAAAGGAGACAATGTCGACAGATGGTAATGCTGTGAGGAAATGGTGACGCTCAAATTGCGACCATTCGTGTAGCGAGGATCCAGAGTTGAGTGATTCTGACTGATTGGGTTTTGATAAGGACATTTCTTCGAGAGTCATTCTTCGTGAAGAATAAGTGATCCTACACGAGTCCCATATAGACCCAATAGCCGAACCTTCACGGAACAGGATTATGCATTTACCTACTCCAGAGTATTCGTGATTAGTTGAGAAGAAGCTGAAAATTACCATTGTTGTTGAGAGAATTGCAAACAAATGATTATGCGGAAGCAACATGAGCTGCTGCCTGTAACACGACAAACGATGGATGGATACATGGCGATTAACATGATTTGAAGAACATGTATTGTAATTGCGAAACAATTTCGTGATCATACTTGTTCTAGCTCTGCTCTATTTAACCAAGAATTTTTATTTGGCTCGGGGTTGTGGGCTTTGAAGGATTTGTTACATATACTGTAAAGAATGGATGTGGGACAAAGTTATCGTCTGATAGGAGATGGATAGAATGTATTTGTATAGGTGAAAATATAATGGATGATAGAATTTCGCTGTTGCTTTCAGACTAAATTGCATTTAAATTTTTGCAATATTACTCTCGTCTTAGTAGGCATTGACGATCACCATTTTTATTGCCGAACATATTCAGGGGGTCAGTGTTGTCGGTATATTGTCGCCTTATTGGTAAATTTTGTCTGAGATTCACCACAACCTTTGCTTGTCCCCGCACCTTCGATATGGTGCTAGAAGTCGATATTGCTTTGGCAAATTAAACTCTTCTACAGTAAATAAGAGTACTGACCCGTATCCTCCTCCTTGATGAAACTATCAAGTCACTGACTATCCAGATCTTGAAACCATGACGAAGAAGCTCGGCCTTCAAGCGTTCTTACGAAGAGAGGTCATCAAAGCTAAGCTTCAGGTACCCGAAGAAAATGAAATTCCAAGCCTTTCAAAGAAAAATTCAATGCCAATTTCTCAACACGGAACCTACGAAGAGCCAGAAAAAAACACCTTTCGTGACATATTTGGCGACGGCGAAGAAGACTATGAAAGTCCCATGGAAAGGCTGAAAAGCTCAAAGATGCCTTTACCATTCAAAAATGAGCTGAAACCAAAGACCGAAGTAAGGTTACGGATTGAGGAACTCAGAAAGCAACTAATCGCTGTGATCGATACTTCTTTTAAGGGACTAAGTGAAAGAGCTATCATTGCCAGAGAGCGCGATCACCTTTTACGATCAATAGAGCGTTTAGAAGCCCAAGAGCGAAGAGAGAAAGATAATGCACGTCGAGGTATGCATTGTCTCGCCTGATATTCCGAATTTATGATATTAATGAATCTGATAGCTACGGGAAATGTCCCCGAGCCCGTCTCTGAATTTAAGAAAAGGCAACAGCAGAAAGAAATCGAACTGGTGAAGAAAGCCCTTGCCGGGGAAGAAGTAAGGCCCGCGTCACACCCTCATTCTTCATCTTGATCATCCACATTCACTAATCAAATTCCGCCCCAGAAGATTAAATCATCCACTAAACGTTCCACACGCGAACTTGATGACGATCCAGATGGCGAGACTCGAAAAATGTTAGGGTTACCATTGAAAAGACGCAAGCTCGAAAAGACAGGTAAATGGACAGATGATCTTCTTCATGCAATTCCGCAGCTGAGGTGTAAGGACTACGGAGTTGAGGAGTTGAAGGGAATTTTGTTATGCGGGGCGACTGAAGACCAAAAGGAATGGTTGTGGAAGTGGTTTAGTAAATTAGATGCGAAAGTCACCACCAATGGAAGGGTGAGGGGCCATGGAAAGAAGAGAAGTTTGTAAGGGAAAAGTGGTTGGCTGAACTTTTGGAAGGATTAGCATAAAGTCAAAGCATGGATTTGAGTGTTGCTTCGAAATAATACGGCGTGGGGCTCTTGCAGCATTTTATACTTATCTTACCTATTAATGCCCAGTACAAGCATCTAGTCTTGAAAATTGTACCTCTCCTCGATCGCTTAGCCCACGTATTACCTCCCGAAATGAACTGAAAGGTCTCGTATTAGCCGTGCCAAATAGACGAAATATATTTTCAGCCGTGAGGACAGAATCCGCAAAAGCGCAGCTGCCCATGTCTAAGACATAAATATCGTTAGTCAGATGTGAAGGTCAGGACCGCCAAGAGAATATTGAAGTCGCTCGAATCCAAGGAGCAGCAAAATAGTGGAAGCCCCTCGGCGAGATGGAAAAGCTTCGATGCTATCTAAAGACTTCAACCGGGAGGCTTGCTCTGCAAGGACTAAACAGGGACTGTTCTTGCCCGTCGATAAGTCATCCATAATCATGTCTGAGCTGCACGTCGTAGATACTTGTTGATCCGCCCAGAGACAATTTGTTTCCCGACAGTGTGAGCGTCCAGCAACCACGAGCTGTAAGCAATGGCATGGGGTCCAATGTTCGAAAACGCCAAGACAATTAGAGGAAGACTCGAGAACTGATGAGCTGCCATACTCAGACTTGCCTCCTATCAAACGACCTTGCCTTAGTACTGAATTCCACAACTGCAGCTCAAAGCATGACGTCCCATCAGACAGATTAGATGAAAGCAGAAAGACTATAGCTAAGGCGCATTATTGTTGACGCAAGCAGGGTGTCAGGCAACTTCGAGTTTTCAACAGTAACGATGATTCAGCCTCCCCCCAGTAACCTGGAATCACAATCACAACAACGACAGCGTGGAGAAAATGGAGGAGGATGGTCATGTCGTCAATCATGCAATATTTCGGAACTGTGGCAGTGGCTCATCACCGGGAGTGAGTTTATGATGAATTTCCAACACATTGGATCAGGATGTAAGGCTTATCATTAGATAATACTCCCAACTCATGCCGACCAATGAAGTGTAGGTCGATGGACAAGGATCGTGGGGTGCATGTGACTTCCTCATTTAAACATTTCAATACGCGCGCGAATCCACTCGACGCAATAGTCTACTGCGGCACAGGATTGGCCCCGCGATTGTTGTGTGCTGTAGAATTTCTATTTTCTTCATGGTGTATCCTGCAAACACTACAACTCTTCGGTTTATCAATTGTACAAAACACGTAAAGTGAATCGCTTCGTTTTCACTTTTAACTCACATCATTTACTCTAGTTATTAATGAATACACTTTTACTTCTAAACTTCTTCTGTTCCCTATAGCTGCCAAACTTTTAAAATCATTTTTTGATTAATGAATCTTGTCTAATTCATCCGCCACTACCCAAAAAATCCTATGATGGATCCTGAGCGCAAACCACTTACTAGATGGGGATCTAGAGAGCTTGCCAAGCTGAAAGAAATATTTCATCGGTTGGAAAATGGTAAAATGAAGGGAGCCCATCATGGATTCTGGCAGGAGGTCGCCGATGAATTGAACGCGTGCGGATACGATCGCCAGGCAGGTGCTATTTACGCCAAATGGAACCGTATCAACAAGAGTGCTCCATCAAAACAGGCAAAGAAAACCCCACATACCATATGGGACATCAGTGATAGTGACGGCCTCCAAAAAGAAGATGAGGAAGATGACGAGGATGTTGAAGAGGATGTTGCGGAAGGTGATGGTTTGCCTCTAGAAGATCTCAAGGATGATGATTCCATACCGTGGATGGAAGGAAACAACTGGTCGGAGGAAGAGGATGCTATTGCGTTCGAATGCATTAAGGGCCAACGAGAACGTGAGAAAGCACTGAAGCTTGAAGCAATTACGGCAGATGAAATGTGGCGCATGGTATCAAAACGTCTTGCTGATCTAGGGTTTTACCGAAAATGTCCAAATGTTTGCAGATATTGGAACACTAAGGGAAAAGAAAAGCATAACTTTGATGCAAGAACTCCAAGCGCCATTGAAAAGGCCCAGGGTGAGGCTATTTGTGTTTCTGAAGAACAACCTAAAAGGGCTGGGAAGCCTTACGGTGTGAAATCGACATTTCGCCAGGACAAGCCCTCAAGTTTGATTCTTGAAAACCCAACTGAGAACTCTTCCCAGGCAAGTGCAATTTCCGTATTTTGGAATGATTTAAGGGTTGTTAACGTTACTTTTCAGCAAACTAATCCTACTGCCGAGGCAAATTTGAAAGGTGCACAGCCGTTAGATCTTTCACCCCACCAGCATGTCATTTTAATGGCTCAGTATTTAAAATACAATCACTTAGATAATCCTGTGATGAACAAACTACAAGAAGAAACTGGATTGAGCAGGGAACAGATCAAGGTAAAAATGCATCGGACGAGTCACTGTATTACTGCTAATCAAGAGAACTCAGGTGTTCTATCGAACACAGAAAGCCACGGACAAGAAAGGAACAGAACCTCACATGCAAACGGAGTTGCTAGCTGCTAAAGAAGTTTCCATACCCATTCTCGGTAAGCCGGAGCTTGGAGCAGCTGGATCGAAGCGTCACCGTACCTCAGACATTGGCTTTCAATGTCACGAGGAGGAGGAACCGACTAAGAGAATGCGCCACAGCTTGGGGCCGGGGGAGTTGGTCAGGAGCCAGCGTGTAGTTCCGGTTGATTTGAAAGCTCAAGTAAGCCGCGCTGCTTCATATCATTTCAAATATAGATGTGCAGCACATACCACGCATTAACAAGAATCGAGAATTCTAACATAGAGGTTTTAGGAGGAAAGTTCGGATTATCACCCTGCGGTATCAGTACTGAGTGTATCTTCTAACAACAATCCGGCGGTATCGACTATCGAAGTCCAAGTACCTTCTCTCAAGCCTGAAACACAGCAGATGGATATTCAAGACCACACATCTCAGTTGAACGATCATTTGGAAAAAGAGCGACAAATTCAATTGCGGAAAATCCTCGAAGCTGAGATACATCATAATCAGCTGGAACTCGCTATCAGGGCTCACAGGGGAAGAGCTGCGGAGGAAAACAGGCTGCTTCAAGTCGCTATTGACGCCCACAAAAAAAGAGCCATTGCTGAGCTTGAAGCTGCAGAGGCGAAAGAACTGGAGCTTCAAGAACAAAAGGAAATCATGAAAAATGCTATGAAGAAAATGTCGTTCGTTAACGCGCTTCTCGATCCGCCAGCCTGAGAACAGTTTTCCTTCTTCTATTATGTCCATGTCTATAGTAGTATTAGTAGTAGTAAATTCATGAACGATTTGGTCTAACTATAGCCAATGTCTATATCTATATTCTCCGACTTCTTCTAAGATGGAGCCATGTTGTTGACTATACCAAACATTTTGCATTAGTAATACAATCGATATTCGTGATATCATTCATTAAGCTTATGTAGTCGTAGAATTACATGACCTGTTTTATAAGTCTTCAAAAGCTTCTAATAAATCATTCATCTGTGGCATTCGGCATCTAGACAGTTGAACTCAATGAGGGATGATATCATTTGGGTGCGCATAGAGATCACCCAGGATAACTGTAGAAAGTGATTACTAATCACGTCACGCCTTATTCATCAATCAGTGACGACATGACTTCACTTCGCGTCAAAATCAATTTACGCGTCTCATGCACCAATACCGATCAGAAAACTCATTTTTAGTTTTGAGCATTTTATGTTCAGCGTCGTACAATTTCTGTTTGAATTTTCCCTCTATGAACTCCATCCCATATTAAATTTCAAGCCTAGGAGAAATCTAGTCGGGGTTGAGTTGCAATTGTTTGTCGGCCTGTGGTTTCGTGAATAGCTTCGCCGTCACAAACTTTGAATCTTCCATGGAGGCATATCAGCTAATTGTGTATTTACGGATCTATTGACTTAAATTTTTCGCTTTCGTAAGGCGTCCGGGGGTCAAGCTATCGGTTACTTTACTCTGTGATTATTGCTGATCAAGCAAAGCCTAATTAAAGCAATAAAGGCTGAACGCAATTGCTCAACCGCATATCCAAGAGAACGTTTTTCCTTCAACCATGAGTTCAGAGCCTAGCATGAGTGGCTCACAAACACCTACATCGAAACCACGTAGCAGTGTTCCATCTTCCCCTCCTGAGGAGTTGGGCGCTGAGGAATTGTCCGATTTCGACGTGAATTTTGCCACCGAAGAAGGAAAGAAGATATTTGAAGAAGAGGAGAAGGCACGCATAGCGAACTTCAAGGCCGAAGAACGAAGACGAAAGGCAATTGCGAGGAAGAGAACAGAGCACAATGAATCGAAGGCGGAACGGGAGGCCAAAGCTAGACAACTAGATGAACTGCTAAGCAAGAGCGCCGCATTTGGGGAAGTGCTGGTAGGGAAGACAAGGGTCTTGGGACGTGTTGGGAGTGGGATGGATGGGAAAGCATTGGGGGAACATGATTTAACAATGGCAGAACAACCTAAGTGTATGGTTGGTGGAACGATGCGAGAATACCAATTAGAGGGTTTGACGTGGATGTACGAAATTTGCATACAAGGAATGTCTGGGATCTTGGCAGATGAGATGGGCTTAGGAAAGACAATTCAAACGATTTCGCTTATTGCATTGCTGAGAGAGAAGGAAAGTTATCTGGGTCCGCATCTAATTGTTGCACCGCTGAGTACACTTTCGAACTGGATTGAGGAATTCCAGAAATGGACCCCTAGTGTACCGGTTCTGTTATATCATGGTACGCCACCTCAACGAAAGGAACTTTTTCGCACGCAGATGATGAGGCATATTAAGGGTGGTCGTCCTGATGAAAATTTCCCTGTTGTCTGTACAAGTCCAGAGATTGTTCTTCGAGATCATGCGGATCTTTCGAAGATAAATTGGGAGTTCATCATCATTGTAAGTCATATATTCGTCGTACGATATGATATCTCATGACTGACGTATAAGACAGGATGAAGGCCACCGGATGAAGAACTCCGAGTCTAAACTGTTTCAAACACTGAGGACCTTTACATCTGCTACACGTCTTTTGATTACGGGAACACCATTACAAAACAATCTGAAAGAGCTGTGGTCATTACTGAACTTTCTTTTGCCTACAATATTCACACAATGGGAAATGTTCGAAAGTTGGTTCGACTTTAGTGATTTACAGGATGAGGAAGGTACCGAGGACTTCATTGCCGATCAAATGAAACAAGATCTAGTCAAAAAGATGCACTTGATTCTTCAGCCATTATTGTTGCGACGAGTAAAGGCTGATGTCGAGCATATGCTTCCGAAAAAGCGGGAATATGTCCTTTATGCACCGATGACAAAGGAGCAGATGGAATTGTACAATAAGATTGGAGATAAGACTGCTGACCTGCGGAAGTATCTGGAGGAAAAAGTAGTGGAAAGATTGACAGGGGGAAAAGCCATCGAGAAAGAATCGAAGAAGTCAGTTGAAACTACAGTCAAAGATGAAACAAATCTGGAAGGCTCCGATAGCGAAGACGAGAAACCACTGGCGCATCGAATCAAAAACAAAAATGCCGCTTCGGAACCTACTCCAATAATAAAGAATGCATTCCAACAAATGATGCCGAAGAGGAAGCCCGGCAGACCGCCTAAGAATAAAGATGGTGCTCTGTTACATGCGCCAGTAGAAAAGGGAAAGCCAGGCAGGAAGCGCAAGTTAATTGAGGATTCGCTTCCATTACCAATTAGTAAGTCCGCAAAGTGTAGCCGGACTGCATCACCAGCTGTTAGTGTTCGCAGCAGAGATTCGCGGGGAAGAAAAGTCTACGAAGAAGCCGATGCATCTGAGGAGGATAAGTTGAGTGATGATGAATTCGAGACAAAACTTGCAGCAGAGTATGCTAAAAAGGAGGAGGCCGAAATCAAGAACAAGAACGGGAATGAAGACGAAACGGCGAAAATCCTTGAACTTGCAAGAAAGGAGATTTCTAGTAAAAAGTTGGGAAATCCTGTTATGCAGATGAGATTGGTTTGCAATTCTCCTCTAAATTTTTATAACCCCTGGTCGGCAGGTTCTGTTATTCCACTGAACGAGACTCTGGTGACTTCGTCTGGGAAAATGTTACTTCTCGATCGACTTCTCCCCTCACTCTTTTCTCGTGGTCACAAGGTTCTCATTTTCTCACAGTTCAAAACTCAACTCGATATCCTCGAAGACTACGCACGTGAATTGCGAGGCTGGAAAGTATGTCGAATCGATGGAAGCGTTGCGCAAGACTTTCGTCGCCAACAAATCAAAGAGTTCAACGAGGACCCAGATTTCAAACTATTTCTTCTTTCAACCAGAGCCGGGGGACAAGGTATCAATCTGGCAAGTGCTGATACAGTGATCCTATTTGATAGTGATTGGAACCCACAACAAGATCTCCAAGCTCAGGATCGTGCCCACCGTATCGGCCAAACCAAACCTGTTGTCGTATTTCGTCTCGCTACCAAGGGCACTGTTGAAGAAAGTTTGCTCATGAGTGCCGATGCAAAACGTAGATTAGAGAAATTGGTTATCAAAAAAGGAGGCTTTAAAACAATGGGACAAAAAATGGATACGAAAGAAGGAATGAGTGCGGATGCATTGAGAGCGTTATTATTAAAAGATGGCGAGGTATACATGTGCAAAGAAGGCGACGAGATTCTGACGGAGGAGGATTTAGATACATTGTGCGATAGAAGTGATGGGGCTTATGAAAGAGCGGAGAAGGGTCTGGGAAATAAGGATGCCTTTAAGATCGTGGAGACAAAAGCAAGCGGGTTAATGACTGGCATGGATGAAAAATAGATTTACGATATTTAGATGTGGCTAGTGTACGATTGAGGAAATTCTCTGGGTTTATAGAGATGGAGCTAGTGGATACAAGTGCTGCAGTCATTGTTTGTAAGATATTTGTATAACGATACCATTGAAAGATTACCATTGTATCATGAAATACCTTATGTTTGGTCAGAGAACGTTTGTACAGTGAAATAAATAGTCATTGTCATTCTGAATACACAATCATACCTACGCTTTGATATGAGATCAAACAATTAGTGTCATCACATACTCTCTCTTCTCGTACGCAGTAGAATCTACCATACATACAACCCTACTCATTTTTTACTTTTGAAATCTTTATTATACTATACGGTAGTTTGAACGCTATTGCTTGTTATTGGCATATATATATATATATACATATGCCTTTACTTCTAGCAGATAGGTTCATAGGCTAGGTTCATCTTAACAACAGCAAGTAACAGCAAGTAACAACGACACCGACAGCGAATATTTGGTTATACTTGATCTACAAGTAATTTTTATTTTTCATTTTTTAAAAAAAGAAACTGGAAGAAAACGAAGAGGAAGGGAAAAAAAAATATGAAAAATCTCATCCCTTGGCTAATAGTAGCTACAATCTCCTGTCTCCTTAGCATTTATATCTTCTCGCATACACTCCCAGCAGCACCTCGTTCGAGGAGGGATAAGCTTCATTTTCATCTTCAGCTTTGTACTTGGTCGAATTCTAATGCACACTCCGATACCGGGGATAAGATTCCTTTACCTTTGCCAGAATCTGAAATTTCTGAGATGAAGGAAATAGAGGAAAGAGAGGAAAGAGATGAGTGGTGTGAAGAGAGCACGGAGGGAATGATATCACAGATAGGAGGGAAGGAAAGGGAAACTTCCCCCCCGGTTAAAAGACATTGGTTTGGAGGTTCGGGATTGCGATTGGGATTTGGAAGCGGAAATGGAAATGGAAATGGAAGTGGAAATGGTTATGGAATGGTAATGAGAGATATGATATTGGTGATTGCGGTTGGGAATCCGATTGTGGGTTGGGGGGTGGTGGGGTTGTTTGTTGCGTTTTTTAGGGGGAGGTTTGGGTGGGTGAGGGGGTGAGTGGAGGGAGTAGAGGGAGTTAGGTGAGGGGTGGAGGTGGGATATGGTTGGTTGATTTGATGGGTTGGGGAATAGTGCATAGATAGGAGACTTGGGATGGGATGGGTGAGAATGAACGAGTGCATGCTGGATGGATGACTTGACGTTGGGGTTAGGAGTGTTGTTTAATAAAAGCATGCCGTTTTTAATCTAGTTGGGTTAGTAGTATCTTATTTTGAGTTTTCGATGATTATGATTATTTTTATGTTTATGTTTTTGCGATGATTAAAAATGAGGAATTAGGAAATTTCACAGATTTGATTGGTTATTTACTCAATGATTCCGATAGCAATAAGAATGCGATGCAAATTTATCAGCAAGGGGTTTTACGTTCCCGAGATGTGTAGCCAAAAAAAACTAGCGAAGAGTGACTGAAGTTTGGATAATTCTCATTTTATTTGTTTAAGAGACTTTGATAGAAGTAAAAATATGGAAAAAAAAAAAAAAAAAAAAAAAAAAAAAAAAAAAAAAAAAAAAAGGGCCACCTTTTTTTTCTGGGGTAAACAAGGAAATTTTGGGAAATTTGGGGTATATAAAAAAAAAAAAAAGGGAAGGGGGAAAAAAGAAAACTATATTAAGATTACTATGGTGAGTTTATTCAGTTTGAAGCTTTCGCTCGGTTCCATGCCGTAGATTGATTTTACAAGTCTTCCCTTTAATTTCTGTGAGGGAGAGATTTTTATTTACTATGATGCAGGTGGAGGCGTGGATTGTTCTACTATTGGAGTATGTTTGGTAATGAAGGGGATGGTTTTCGAGTATAAAAATGAGTGAGGGACGTGGAAATTTAAGCGAAATTGATGGATGGTTTATCTCATATTGTTCAGATGTGAACTCGATACTGTTAATTGAATCACTCTATGAGCATTATTAATACCGTTTAGAGGATATGTTTCATAGGTAGTAAGAAAACGCATTAGGATCTGTGATGTATGATGCAAATGACATGGTTTCGAATAGCCATTATTCATTTTTATCATTTAAAGCATCGAGTACGTCCTGTATGATACTTCATCAGAGATGGCATCAAAGAGCTTTTTCTTCCAAACTTTGGTCTCAAATATAATACAACACTAACGCTATCACCATATATTTTATCTTCTATCTCTTCATTTACCCTATGAAGAGCTTAAAGTAAAGACAGACATCTTCTCTCTATCACTCCTCCTTTCCACTCCCACTCCATCCCCACTTATCTCTGGAGTTTGGGAGCCCGGACACTGGAGATGCAATACTAATATAGTATTCGATAAAAATGATGGTGAAGAAGAGAATGAGGGTAAGAGCTATGGTGACGATAAGTATGAGTACACATTTGCCTCGTTTGTCTAAAATGGACATAAACACAGACACAGACTCCAATCTACACAAAGGAAAATCATAGCGACAATTCCGATATAAGCTCCTAGATACAACTTTCAAGCAGACAATATACTTTCAACGAAAGATAGAGAGAGGGAGGAAAAATGCAGAAAGAGAGAGTAATGCCGGTCACTATATACAGGAATAGAGCCTGAAAATGAGGGGGCTGCTATAATTTGGAAGTATATTGTTAAGGACTCGGATACTCGGGTATAGATAGACTTGATTCATCATGGAGAACAGAATCCCATTTCATTTCGTTAACCCCAAAAACAAGAGGGCTTCACAATACCTTGCATACCACTCCACTACCACTGCACTACCATACCGTTTCTCAAATCCATGATCCTGATAACTGTACTACTTACCACAATAAATCACGAATTACATACCAATCATCATTTCCCCCATTTCTCCCACTTCTCCAAGGGAGCTTAGTAAGATTAGTATTTTCTCCATCTTTCTTCAATGCAAATGAGTGATACCATGGATGGAAGCTGGACTTGAAGATAATGACGTAAGTTTGCCATATTTGCCTCGTTTGCCCTTTAAAACTTTCAGCTAAAATTCTCAGTCACAATTCATTTGGGTGTCTTTTGAACAGTCATGATTCGAGTATTAGAAATGCAGATTATAGCTCGTCCTTGATAACACATAGGAATTCGAAAAAGAGCAGACTTTCATGCTGGCCCAACTAGCTCAGATAGGACAGTCATTTCTGTGTTTTTCAAATATTTTTACTAGATAATGAAGGATCGACGTCGCCTTGGAGTCAGAAGATTAACACCGCTTGGCCCCATTTATAAACAGTTGTATTAATTAGTAGTAAATAAATCTATCGGCTGATCTTCTCGTTTTCAATCTCTTGCTTCAATTCCTCCAAGACCTGTTCGCGTGACCTCAAATGTGCTTCCAATCCATCGACCTGTTCCCTGACGGTAGCGATCTCATCCGCAACACCCTTTAAGCTTGCACCAACTTTACTTCTTCCCTCACCGGATTCCAGATCTCGTAATTCTCGACGCTTGTAGTCTAGCAACTGTTCCAATTCTCTCTTGACTAAAGCTGGCTTGGTATCCCGTCGTCCGCCGGATCTCGCTGCAGCTGCAGCTTCAACCTTCTCAATCTTGGCTTCGAGCTCTGCGAGTTGTTTCTTTAATCTTACTTCCTCCCAATCCTCGGTCGTTTTTGTACCTGAGAAATCAGTACCAGCAGGTCTGTAACTGCTCTTCCCACCTAATCCAAGTCGACTCATATATGTCTCTCCGAATTTAGCTTTGCGACCAGTACTTGTTTCTTCACCACCTGTAACGCCCCATTTTTGCGCCGGTGATGCTACACGTTGATTGTCTAATTGGTAATCGATTTGGTTCCGTTCAAAACTTGCTCTGAGGGATGGAGGAACAGTTCTAGGAATGCGATATCCTTCGTGTCGATTATTAAGTATGTGTAAGAAGGCGAGGGTGGCATCTTTGGAAATGGCGGGAGCTGCGGATGGATTGATTAAGTTCCAGGCTGAACGAACATCTGTATCTGGTACGTCAAGCGAAGAGTAGAGGGTATCTAGAGATTCGACTTTGGGAAGTCAGAATTAATTGGATATAGGTCGTAGGGCTCATGCACTTACAAGTTATATCTCCTCTGCCATCCCTATTCGCAGCGTATATCTCTTCGTATTTGGATTTGTCTGACGGACTCATATACCAATCGAAGCCATCTTTCAAGCCCGGCGTGTCATCGTCGTCTTCAACGCGTTCGAATTGAACCTGTCTTCCCGTAAGTGCTCGACTAGCCTGGACTAAATGTGCCTTCGATTCTGGAACAAGCCAGTCAGGTAGTGCTGGTGGTACATCTGCATATTCCTAAAAGATGCTTGAATTAGATCAATGCTACTATTATTGATATGAAATTATCATACCCCGTTGACAAGATCGAAAATTAATCTCATAGCCACACAAAACTCCTCAAAATCTAGATTCCCATCATTGTCGACATCTGCGAGATCCCATATCCGTTCGAGTTGATCATCTCGTAGTTGACTGTTTTTCAGAACCGGCGCTGCCTGCGCGCCCGTGAGATGTGTTCCACCATTTGATAAAGATGCAAATATCTCCCAATATTTTTCGATTTCGCTTTGTTCGATGCGTTTGTTAGACATTTTTGTTGTGGTTTATGCTTGGAAGCTTCACCCCCGAGTTCAAGGCAAGGCAAGGGAGATTCGGGGGCACGAGCCACACTGTGAATTGTGACAAGGTGACTGTTGGTGTGTCTATTAATAAGAATACCCCAGGAATTGGCTGTACTGTACCGCTACTCCCAGTATACCTACCTACTTATGACTCTCTGTACCTACCTACTCAAACATGATATCATAAATGACTGTACTTGAACTTCAAGAGACGGTCCACTAGTTACCATACAAACAATGATTTATCAACTTTAGTATTTTAACTGATTGTCCACCTGAGTCTATCAACTATTCTCAATTAATTTCAATCAAGGGACGACGGAACCTTTCATAGCAACAACATCTTCCGAAAACGATTCTCTTCGACGATTCCCCTCATCCCTCATACCTTCTGACGACCTCAACGTTTCTCTACCTTTCAAACTTTACCTGTAGATTGTTACAAAATTTCAGATCTTCCGATAATCTTTAGATTGTCTCACATTATCTGCACAACGATGACACCTACAATGGAGTCGGGTATGGATTCGAGGGAGTTTTCAACATGTCCCATGGAGCATAGAACCACCCCCACTGCCATATATTCATGGAGAGTATGTCTCTCCAATCACTAATTTTTGATGACATTTATCTTACGTACTTTAGCCTCCATCACCACCCCATATCCATATACCACCAATCGTCAGTACGAATGCTCCAATCGTTTTATCGGAATATCGCGGATTGGATGATGAAGAAGAGACTCGAAAGATATTAAGCATGATCACAAAAGGTCAAAATGTATCTGTGGAAAGATCTGACTGGAAATATGAGATGCGACGCCATATTCAAGCCATCTTATCTTTCCTTTATCTTGGACCATCCTCAGGCGCAAGAGAGATTGAAACATTGAAAAGGGAAGGAATCACCATGTTACTTGTGATCAGAGATACTATGACGGCACAGGCAAGAATTTTGAGCGGCGCAAAGGTGGCACAACAGTTGGGCATTGAAGATGGTGCCGTGGATGTTAGCGGAAACATGGAACTTATTGCCGCCTTTCCTCGAGCCATTCAAACAATAAATGACCATCTCATTCGAGTATTTAGACACCGGAATCCTCAAGGGGTAAACAGTAGGCCATTGGCTGCAACACCAAAGGTTCTTCTCTTCTGCGAATCTGGAAACGAAAGATCTGCTGCTGTCGCCGTAGCATATATTATGGCGACTTATGAGTTAGGTCTGATCGAAGCCATACAGTATGTACAAAACCAGCGCTTTTGTGTAGCTTTCGATGATGAGATGAAACATACATTGCTAAACTACCACCAACTTCTGGAAGCTAGAAGAAGTGTCACTCAAACCCGACAAGCTGAGGCAACTGTATCATTGAAATCAAAGAGACGGCTCGAGGTGGATGATGAGGATGGTGATGTGGACATGGGTCAATCTCAACGGGATGACTGGGATAGATTTGGTGGACGGACGAAGTTTAGTCCGTTTATTTAGCTTGAGGGACATTATATGGCGAGGCTGTTGCATGGTGACGGTGATTTGTTCGCCCTACGGAGGAGATGGGCGTATGGTATAGAATTTATTACACATTTCGCATAGCAGGCGTTCAACGATACCCAAACGGCATTGCGGGATCAGTTTACGGTACATATCGGGCAATTCGAAGAGGAGTTTTGCAAATTACAATCAATATCTATCTACTCTTTCCGCTTTGGTCAATGTGAATTTAGTACTTGATCAAGCCATCAGTGACATGTACTTCTGTACACGGAGCATTCACATCAACATGGTACATGTTCCATATGTTCCATATATTCCATGATCAAATAGGCTTTATAAGATCGACTCCATCCTCGGTGCAAACTGCCATTGACGCCCTCCGCGCCGTCTTAAGCAGTGTATTACTATCACATTTACATCATTTACATAGCAATAACAAGGCTCTATTATTATGCCTGCAGTCATATTTCCAAGTAAATCTTCTTATTAGCCTGGCCCAGTTTAACCTTTTTTTATCATCACCCAGTAGCTGAGATCTCACTTGCAGCCTCGCATGACGTTATCTAGCCTTACGCGATCTGCTTGCAGTATAGCTCTGTGTGTACCCCACCAGAGCTTGAAGCAATAGAAGCCTTCACTATATACTTCTCTAATTCGCATCCAATTCATACTGGAAAAATGTCGGCACAACAAATACCAAATCTTCTCTCCTTGCGAGGCGGAACTCGGTCGCGTGGTAGAGGTCAGGGGCTGCGCGACCCTTTAAATCCTCATTCGGAGGTTTCTTCGAATCGCAGAGATAATGCCATTCAAGGTACCGATACTGATGCAGCCGTATCTCGCCTTAGTGCAGTCAATCTTGGCTATCTCGAAGATCCTTTTGCTCGTTATTTTGTCAATGGAAGTGGGACACGAAGGCTGCCAATCATAAATCGAGGTTCGTTAGCCTTCGTTACTGCGAGTGCAGTCCACTAACCTGTACGAAACCAGCTAATCTATGACTTGGAATAGGTACATATTCTCGTACCACTGCTCTAGACCTCCTCATCGAATCCTTTCTATCTCAGCCTGAGAATTCTGCTCCACAGCGAAAACAAATAATATCTTTGGGAGCAGGAACAGATACTCGCTATTTTCGTTTGCGAGCGAAGAATTTGCACAAGGGTGTCATTTATCATGAATTTGATTTCCCATCCGTGTGCGCTGCGAAAAATCGGTTAGTACAGCAGAACCATGCAGAACTCATTGGCACTGAAAGGTTCTTCGAAATGGGACAAGGTGATGGTGAGATTGCGCAACCAGCAATGGCGAAGGGGGTCCAGGCAAGTAGTGAATGGGGGCTGGGTCGCACCATTGATGGTCATTCAGAAGTTGGATATATGTGCCACCCTTTGGACCTCCGCAAACTCCCTAGTATCATTGGTCTTGATTCATTTCATGGCATCAAAAGCGACCTACCAACACTAATAGTATCAGAATGTTGTTTATGTTATCTTGAGGTGGATGTGGCACAGGATGTAATTAAGTGGTTTACTAATAAGATCCCAAGCATTGGGATTGTTCTTTATGAGCCAGTCGGAGTATACGATGCATTTGGACAGATGATGGTAGAAAATCTTGCATCAAGAGGGATTGTTATGCCTACGGTGCAGAAATACAAGACACTTAAAGATCAGAAAGATAGATTAGTAGGTCTTGGGTTCGGTACTGCGGAGGGCGGCATCAATGCCGTAAGCATAGAAAATGTCTGGGAAAATTGGGTTGCAGGAAGGGAAAGAGAAAGAGTGGATAGACTTGAGGGCTTGGATGAAGTCGAGGAATGGTTACTTTTGGCGAGACACTATTCTGTTGTCTGGGGTTGGACAGCCAGCTCGGGATTTGAGAGACTAAAAGCGCTAAATCCTTGAACGATGGATGGCGATCATCCCTTGAACATTTACAGATATATAACATTGTTTGGGCTGGAAAATTTCCCTTTCATTGGTCTCAGACCTTGCCAATGCGAAGCGAACATATTTCTGCCTCAATGATTGACGTTGCCTAGATGCATTACCACGTCATCTGTCACCGTGAAGTTCTTGTAGGGGTACCGGTCACTCTCAATACCAGAAGCGTTCGCGCCGCCGCCATTCAACATCATTTTTCCACTGAGATTGAAGTCTAGGCCAAAATAGCCTTTGGTCTGAAATTCCTCAACAAGAGCTCTGTCCAGTATCTTGTCTTGTTCAGCTCCAAATCATTCTCATCCTCGATACATTTGATTTTCCCCTCACAAAGAGTCCTTTCCTGATATTTTTACCGTAAGAAACAGACGCACTAGACGATCCATAAACTCTGCAACATCTCTACCCTCGATTCGAACTTTGTCTTTTGCTCTACTACCGGTTCAACTCCTACTTAAGAATTGCTTTTAGAGCCACGTTTCGGATTGGGATGTGGAACGCTCGAAACTGCTTTTCTAGGTCTGTACATGGACCACATACAAGGAGCTCAGTCTCGTTGTTATCGATCTTGAACCTGCGGAGCTGCTTTTCAGCGGTTGCGAAGGTCTCAATTATTCCTGTAGAGACTTCGGCCCCCTGGCTACATTTGTAAGTTTTGGGGAGTTTATTGGAATTGGCGCCGTCACTGGTGGTTGCAGGTTTCTAAAAGAACTTTGCCGAGGTCTTATAGATGTTCGTGTTGATTGTGTGCTTTGTGAGTAAGGATGAAAAACAATTTGTGTAACTATCTGGTCATATTACGTTGAAGCTATCGGCTCTACTTATGCCAGTCCTTCATCCACTAGCCATGTTCGTACCCGGGATTGTACTCACTGTTTTTACGCTTTCATTATACATGGGACAATGCGTGAAGCAAGAGACCTGGAGTTTGCTAGTGCCTCAATGTGGGCTTTTAAACATGATCATAATGTGGTATGAAGATTCTCCGCAGTGCCGGTGCACATATTGAAGGAGAGGCCCTCGAGCTTTATGACGCTTTCACTCTATACGGCGAATTTCCACATGTGAGAGTTTCTCGCTTCAATAGCGGAAATATCGAGGGAAAGATAGGGACCTTATGATCTCCTGAATACATACGGTGCCTTTGACCAATTCCGAGATGTGACACAGCACTTCAAGCAAAAAAGCCGACATCTAATCCAAAGAAATAGCAGGAACGGCTGCGAGCACCGCCGTGGCTGCGCACGAACCCGTGCTTCGACAGAATCCCTACTTCCCCTTTATGGTTCCGAGGAAACCATGGAACATATTTATATACCGTCCAATGCTTCATACACTCGACGAAGATTGATCTATGTATAATATTTAATTATTGTCATTTGAAATGATGTGCAAATTGATAATTGAAAAATTGATGATTTTAGAAGAATTATATATTAGACATACCTAGTAGGTATCTGATTGATCACAAACACTTACGGCTTGTGACATTAGTACACAGGTTATCGGATTCTGCAAAACGTGACATATTGCATAACCAATCCAATAGCATCGTCCTATTCAGAGATTTGCGAGCCTTTCCCAATGCTTTTATCCTCGCGCTCCTTACATCCTCCTCTTGCTTTCACTATGGTATCTCTTTGAGATGGGCAAAGCCTCTCTTAGGAAAATTCGCAACTACACCTCGTCTGAAATTTCCTTTGGAATTTCCGACTAGTAATTTTCCAACGATTTCTGCGGCTGAGGCGCTGGAAGAAGAGCATTTTGACGAGTTAAGAAAGAATCTATACTATCCAGTGAATATTGGTGATATTTTTAAAGATTGTTCTCGGTATCAAGTAATAGGGAAGTTGGGTTATGGAGTTACTTCACCGTGTGCTCGCTCGTGATCTAGAGTAAGATTGAGTTTCTTCCCCACCATTCCGATATACTACCATCAGCTCAAAACTATATTATCAATACGTGACATTAAAAATCTATACGTGCGATCAGAAGAATCTAGAAGAATTCCAAATTTAAAAAGCGCTAAGTCGGGGAAACTCATCACATCCCAGGCTATCGCCATGTCAGAACGGCGTTGAATACATTCACCATCCCTAGACAAGGAAGTTATCACCATTGTCTTGTCCAAAAGCCTATGTGGGAGAGTTTCGGAGATCGACTTGATCGCAATCCCCGTCATCGATTTACTGAAGATTTGCTCAAAGCGGGTTTGAAGCAACTTTCTCTTGCTCTTGATTATTTACATACGGAATGCAAGCTTGTTCATACAGGTAGGTAGATGGGATTAAGACCACACTTTTACATTGGTTTCCTACATATTTTCGCGTTTTATAGTTGGCTGACTTGTGATTATATTAGATATTAAGAGTGACAATATTCTTATTGCACTTGAAGATGAAATGATTCTTGATGATTTTACTCGAGATGAGATAATGAACCCTTCTCCGCGGAAATTCTTCAATGGCATTCCAGTTTATGTATCTAGACGATTTGGATTACCAAGAAAATTTGGTGATGTGGTTCTTAGTGATTTTTGGCTCCGTTGTGCGAGGAGACGAGGATAGAATCCATGATGCTCAGCCAAATATATATCGATCACCTGAGGTAATGTTGAAAGTGAAATGGAGCTATCCAATTGATATATGGAACGTTGGTGTCATGGTATGTAGAGTTTGCTATTGAGATGTTATAGATTTATCAGAGTACTAATTGATTGTGGATATTAGATTTGGGATCTGTTCGAGGACAAGCATATGTTCTATGGAAATGATACACATATCAGGGGATATTCTACCCGAGCACATCTCGCTGAAGTCACTGCTATGATAGGTCAGCCTCTATTGGATCTCTTGAGGCTTGGTGTAAGGAGCCATGAATTCTTCACTGAACATGGTACGTACATAACATGTTATAGTAATCCTTCAATTGTACAAACTGATATATTGCAGGAACTTGGAAACACGGGGTAGAGATTCCAATAATAAGAACAAGTCTAGAAACATCGGAGCAGTATCTTCAAGGAAGAAATAAGGAAATGTTCTTGTCCTTTATCAGAGGCATGATTCAGTGGCGGCCGGAGGATAGGAAGACCGCGAAGGAATTACTGCAAGATCCGTGGTTGAATGAAGTGATAGGATAGAATTGCTAATCACAGGGACCTTTTTGTACTAGATCTAACCCATTTTCCTCCATCCGATCCTTCGACTCTGTGCTTGTGGTCCCCGGCGTCGAGATCACAGACCTGTGGGACCTTCGCTCATACTGGGGACCAACTGGCGGATGTTCGGACTGAGGAGGCGCTTCCTTTGAAAGAGGGGTGGTTGGATTAGAGATAGGTTTTACTAAACCGCGGTAGACAAGCGTGGTCTTTAAGCCTATAGGTGAGGATTAATTTAGACCAGTGTGTTTGCTAGGCAGGCAGGCAGGCTGTGGAAGTTAGGACTGATTGATCAATTCCAATCACGACCTGTATCAGTCTAAGACTACATAAGACTGTTGAACCCAAAAGAATTCTAACAAACTGAAAAGACAATCCTACTGCAAATACAAAAGAGAGTCAAGTGGTAGTGGTCGCGGCCGCCGAATATTCGAGACTAATAAAGTAGGAACTCTGCTCATCTCCTTATTGAATGGTAGATTGAAGATGCATATGCCTAATCAAGATATTACACTCATAGTAATCCGGACCAGATCTCTCCGGCATCAATCCATACAACTATCCTCTTTACATACTACTCTTTGTCCTGTTCATACCTTTCCAGCAATTTGCCTTGCCCACATTGACTTCATGAATCCGAAACCCTACAAACAGGCGAACAGTAACTGCAACAGAGCGCTCAATCCTCATAGCAACAGCAGCATTCCGCACTGATTGCATTCTTTGACTGCCCGGGTCCTCCTGATTCTCTTGTAGTTTTGACGGCAGCAATGTCTGTGCCAAGTGTCTATCCTGAGATAAATGATAAATAAATCAACAAATTTTGAAGAACTATTTTTATTCGAAATATGGTAACGCATTTTCCTAGGTCGATTCAGAACAATAATGTAAAAGTGATCAGTTGCAATTATCCTCAAGTGATTCTGAACAGTTGTTGTTGTTAGTGTCGTCGGCGCTTCAAATCGCGAAATACACGCGCAGAGACGCGTGAATTTTCATCTCTTAATGATCTATTGCCTTATATTCAGGAGTACGGACGGATATTGTGAAGGCGGGAAATGACTAATAGTCCTTTTAATTCATCGTCAACAGCATCTTTAAGAATCACAAAAGTGTATTGCACAATACTAGGTAGTTATAAGAAACAATGATAAGGTCTTCGGACATCCCCCCAAAAGTATTGAATTATTACCTACCTAGTACTTCGTACTTTTAACGTCAATTCCCAAACAACTCTTAGCTTTGACTCGTCTGTAAAATTACAAAACTTCTCGGTGTTTCATTAATGATTGGTAAGGTTAAGGAAAGTTAATAAGGTTAAGTTCGGAAACGAAACAAGCCATTTACCGATACGCTAAAACGGATATGAAATCAGGATTCAGTAAAAACAAAAACACTTTCCTTCGATCTTTTCTCCCTCCTGAACATACCTAGGTAACGACATCGTTTTTATTATCATTTTTTAACCACGTGTGAAGATATTTTATCTATTGAGCTTCAGTATTCAATGATATCCACGGAACGATCTTGAATTCATGGAAGATGGTGGCGCTGGGCTACGAGCCCCACGCTACCCCGCGGAAGATACGAGTCCAACCACCGATCGGGAGCTGAGGGGATTTTTTTGCTACGGACTCGCTGCTGAGGTTTTTGCTGTTTGTGCAGTTGGTAGGTTATATATTGCCATTCTAGGAAGCAGAGTATTGAAATTGACACAGGATATAGGATCATTTTTACCCGTCACATTAGAACAACTCGCGCGTGAGCAAGGCGTTCTTTTTATTGATAAAGTAACACCTTGTACGGCGAAGAATGCAACAGTTATTGCAAATGCTACTGTTAATGCATTGATGTCCAGAGCTGAAGGCTCGGATACTCATCAATGTATCATCAACGTGTTTGGTGCCGAATTAACAACGGCCAGTTTTGCAATGTACACGTTTTCTGCTTCTGTGTTTATGCAGGCTCTTGCCCTTGTCTCCGTCAGCTCGGTTGCTGACCATGGTATGCCGATTATTACTCTTAACACCTATTCTTATCTGACATTTTCCAGGTACCTGGCGTAAAAAGCTCCTGGCAGGATTCGGACTCACGGGATCTGTGTCTGCTATGCTTTTCCTACTGGTGGTACCCCAGATCTTCGTGGTTGGGTCCTTTTTAACCGTAATTTGTGTTGTCTGTCTTGGATGCTCGTTTGTCATCCTCAATTCATACTTGCCACTACTTGTCTTGAATCATCCAGTTGTCCAGAGCGATGAAGATCATCCAACTGCCTCTTCATCGATTCCACTTCAGCCAATATCACCCCAACGGAGTAGTCGAAAGTCGGAAGAGAGTCTTCACCAAGTGAACAGAAAAGAGGTCGATATTGGCTCTAAGGCTGACTCTTCTGATCTTCAGCTCTCTACCAAGATCTCATCCAAAGGAGTAGGGATAGGTTACATGGCTGCAGTCTCCGTGCAAGTAATATGTATTCTTATTCTGTATATCATGAACAAGACGGGAGTTTCGTCAACACTTCCTCTTCGGACAGTGCTGTTCTTTGTCGGATCTTGGTGGCTTACCTTTACCATTCCATCAGTTATGTGGCTTCGAGATAGACCTGGACCACCATTACCAACTGCACTGTATGAGGGACGAGCCTTCGTGCGTACTTGCATGTCGTACACAATATTCGCTTGGAAGTCGCTTTGGAAAACAGTCAAGGTCGCCGTCAAGCTTCGGCAAGTCCTTCTCTTCCTTATCGCTTGGTTTCTTCTTTCAGATGCTGTGGCCACCATCTCTGCCACGGCCATTTTATTTGCTAGAACTGAGCTGCAAATGGGAACTGTCGCTGTAGCTTTACTCTCCATCATAGCCACCAGCTCAGGGATAATTGGCGCTACGGTTTGGCCTATCATATCAAAACGATTTACATTGAAGACAAATCATATAATTGTATGCTGTTTACTGCTTTTAGAATTGGTTCCGTTGTACGGACTTCTGGGTTTTCTGCCATTTGTACAGGCTTGGGGAGTTGGCGGACTGCAGAAATGGTACGAAATTTATCCCCTAGGCATTATTCACGGGATGGTTATGGGTGGACTATCCTCATACTGTAGGTCCTTCTACGGCCTCTTGATACCACCTGGTAGCGAAGCCGCATTCTATGCATTATTCGCTATCACAGATAAGGGAAGTTCAGCAGTAGGACCAGCGATTGTAGGGAAGATTGTAGACGCAACAGGACAAATTCGGCCCGCATTTGGCTTTCTCGCAGTATTGATTGCCTTACCCATTCCTCTGATTTGGATGGTAGATGTTGAGAAAGGACAAGAAGATGCGATTCGCATGGCTGGGTTGATGAAGACGACTGATGATGGGCATGAGGATTTTGAATCATTTGAAGGATCATCTGATGGTCATGAAGCCGAAGGGCTGATGCGGGATCACGATTGAATAAGTGCATATCCCAGAGTTAGAATAAAGTGATTTGACTGTTTTAAATTTGGCTTATTGACCGAGTATATATATACTGAGGAAAAGAAAAGAAAATAATTGAATGTCTAAATATTGGCTGAATGACTGATGACTCAAACATGACAAATGACAAATTGTTCCGAGTAAAAGGTTTCGCTTAGTCAGAACTCACAAACATTAATCCTTGCTGTCAGCAACTTGCATTAGCTCCCGGGGATACCAGGGCAATCGCTTTCACTAAGATGTTAACTCCGTAATAAGTAAGGCGGGTCAGCACGTTGCATCTCTTTCGAATTCGTATCCTTCACTCTCTTACTAACTTTTGACAATCAACATCTTTTTGACAGGTTATACAACAAAGCCGTTACATCCGCCTCGCCTAGCCATGAATAACCTTATTGATGAAACACCACGTATCGAGATCCTGCCAATGCCGCAGAGATCACAAATCCAAAACCAGACCGAAGATTGGACAGGTACAAGTAACACTGTGATAAGGAGGAAATTACAAAATCGTTTAAACCAACGAGCTTCTCGTCCGTATTCCTTTCATGAATAAACTAACCTTTATTAACCACTGTCTTAGGACAACGTCGGAAGCTAGACTCGAGAAAACTGAAGACACCCACTAAAATCATAGAAGCACAATATCCTAAAACTGTTAATCCCTTCACAACACGTCTTTCAAAAGAAGAGATGCACAAGATGCATATAAAACACGTCATCTCTGCTAAAACTTTCAATGCATACCTCACCAATCTTTCTATTCCACCAGATTCATACTTACTACCCCTCCTTCACTACAACGTGACCCGTGCATTGATCACCAATGTGCATATTCTCAAACTCCCGATCGATCGTATGGACGATGATATTCTTTCTCCCTTCAACACCTCATCATCACCTGCACAACTACCAGCAACGCTTCAACCCACCAGATTACAAATCGAGATAGCACATCATCCTGAATTAGACATTTTTCCATTCCCGCCTTGTAGGGATAATTTCCTTTCCGCGATAGCAAAAGGACATGTCTGGGATGATGTGGAGTTTTGTCGTGATATAATGTATGGGGTAGAGGGCACGGATGGGAGAACTGGCTTGATTGTTTGGGGTGATCCTTGGGTTGCGGGTAGTTGGGAGGTGGAAGAAAATTTTGCTAGGAAATGGGCTTGGTCGTTGAAAGGATGTACAGATTTATTTGAAAGTACTAATAAGTGGAGGGATAGAAGAGGTGAGCCGGGACTCGTTTTGGGGGAAGTCTTTTAATGGAGCTTCAAGCGGAGAATTGAGAACTGGGATCTTTGATCTTTGATCCAACTTCGGGGAGGTGGATAAAGAGGAGGAGGGATGTGTATGAAAACTGATGCAAATGATCACCCCTCAGTCCCAGGCATATCTATACCCCACTACTACGGGAAATACTCTCGATGACGGTCAACGATACAAAAGGTATCACAGCCACAACGCCCACTTAAGGCTCTTGAATTCTTCAATGTCTTTTCTTGGCCGCGCTGCAACTAGATCATTCAATCCACCTACAGTTCAATACAACAACAAACTCACCATTAAAATAGCGACATTGAAGCTAATTTTGGTGGAAGAGGAATTGTATGGGACAACAAAAAGCTCTAAGCGAATTGAGTCAATTTCAGCGCCAAGAACACTAGACCAGGCCATGACGACGAAAACCGAGCCTTCGACTGTGGGTTAACGACAATCTTCCACAGAAACCAAAGCTTTGAAGGACATCTCATCAATATGGCTGTGTTCCAATTTTGCCTTGTAGGGGAGCCAGGAGTAGAGTCTGGTTCTTATTAGATGTCGGTCGACTTCTTCCTGTGTTTTGTACACCTGTGCTGAAACTTGAGGGTTCTCGCTCAGGGGATTGGGAGGAATTCGCTGTCGATTTCTCTATTCTGTTGGCAATGTCTACTTCTTGCGCCTAGATATGTCGCAATAAAACCTAACCCGGACTTTCTGTTCACGTCGTAGTAACGCTATAATATTTTGTTTTGAAAACGGAAAGATGCGGCGAACGGCGATAAACCCTGGAAATGTGGGATTGAGTCATCAGGAAGTCTGCAATCTAGCTTTGGGTTGATGATCTTGCAATTATAAGTTTGATCTTGTTATATCATAAGCTCTTTCTTTTGGATATTGAATAATGTCAGGATAGAGTATTGTGGGAGCAGTGACCGCGGAATATTATCGACCATGAGAAGACAGAGATAAGGGTTTGAAGTTTGGAATATAGTGAGATGTTATTTGCAAGTATGATTTGTTCAATAACGATCATGGTCAACGACTTAATTCAGGCGGTCTTGGAGGATGTATGTAAGATTTACGTATGTATATATATGAAGTTTTCAGATCTTTAAATTGAAAAATCCTCGAGACATATATGATGGAGGACAAGAAGTTGGCTTTCATGAGCGAGAACGTAAGGAAGTGTAATAATAGGAAATTGAGAGTATTCAAAAATGATTGCACCTTCATGAGACTAGCAAAAAGCTGAGAGACTGCGCCCTTTGGATAGGTTAAAAAGATTGGGCTTGTTGTGTACAAATAACGAAGATCTGGATGGCGATGATGGCTACAGAGGCCGTCACTTGTATGCTTGCCGTGGATTACTTTGATTAAGAAATATAATACTCATTTTTCGTCTACTCCTTTTCCTCCCTTACTCTACCGCTTCCCCTAAACCCGGAATGTGTCATAGGGGGACGATCGGTAGCTACCGTATTCTCGGGCTCTGCTCTAGACAGAACCGGCATGATGTTCATCCGCACACCGGTCTGGCAATGCCAAGAACCCGAAATTATACGGGTATATTCACGTGATACGTGATAATTGCTGAGATAGAAGTGCTGCTTAGTAAGCAGTTCTCCTGCAACTCAATCTTTTCATCTGACAAACGCCGAATAGAATCAATCAACACCATTGCGCTCTGAATCGCTGTTCCAAAAGATATCAGCAGCAGGGCTTTCGTTATATACTAGAGTTACGATTCATACTATGAGAACAAAACAACATGCGATAGAAAATTAAACCGTTCCTTGCCGCCGATGGCACACGATATAAAAAGATGCTCAGCCTCAATGAACGAACTGGATCATTGAATATTCAAAACATGTGTATGTCTCAAGACCAACATCAAAAGTTGGAGGCTTGGAGTGTGAGAATGAGACTTTGCAGTATCACGGACGAAATACCGAAATTGACAAAAAGGGCCATGACCTTCTTTCGGCATGGCCGTAAGATGGATTCACCTCCGCAATTGTTGACCTCCTGGGATCTTGGCAGCATATGCATATATAGTACATATGCATATAAGGAGCAAACAAAACTCAACTTTTAATTCATTCTTTCCTTTTTGGTATACTGTTTGTTTGCTTTCAATATTTTGATTTCAAAGCACTTTAATTCCGAAGGCTGAATACCTAACCTTATTCCTTCATTTTTTGAATATATACTCGCAGCTTAACTGCTTAGCTAGAGAATCAATCAATTCAATCTGATACTCTTTCTAGTCTCAAGAAACCCAACAGCAATCGCTTGATCCCCGGTACCAGTTTTATCCCTCTTCTTTGTATCTTCTTGGGATTTTACCCGACTTCTACTGCATTCTGATTTGCGATTTGCCGACTGATGATGGGTCAAGCTCCATGTGTTTACGAGGCGATGGAGTAGGAATTCATGAATCTGCTCACACCGTAGATACGTATCCACATTCCGTTGAGACCCAAGTAAACAAGAGTGTAAAGAATGCTTCTATGCATGTGCTTCTGTACATGTGCTTCCAACCTTCCATACATCTGCTTCCATGCATACTGGCGTTTTTGTGAAGATATCCTTCATCTCTTACTAGGTAGGTAGTATGTAAATAGTAGTACCTACCTAGGTATCTAGTGTTGTAAATCTGCAATTATTGGACTGGGGGAGAAAAGGGGGATACAATCTTTGAAGCTCGAGATGTTGAAAATTTGTGTCAAAGAGGAGATACAAATCTCTTACCGAGGAGCCTTTTTAGCTTTAATCAACATTTATATGGTACATTAGCTGTACATATCTTAGTTTATGGATAAATCAGTCAATTGATGATATCTCGGCCAAACAACCAAGACGAAAACACAAGGATCTTGGACTCTGGAGCATACTTTTCAATAAGCACTAAGCCTTATCTGGCTTTTTTTTAATTTAAATCATTTCCATGACATGGATGTTATCATTGGTTGATCTTTTCCATTTAAAATTCCCGTTCTACATTAGCGTCAGGAACATTGCATGTAGCTCAGTGACTGTATCCAATCATTGGTTGAATTGAATGGAAGACCAAAGCCTAATTGGGATCTTTAAATCGTTAGATTCTATCCAATTTCCCAATTCCCCAATTTCCCCAAGTCGCCTGGGCAAAGCCTGTCAACGAGTCAATATGTGAAGAAGATTAATATGTGATCAATGATCATTGCAGGTGATGCGAGATAGGAATTTGTTAGGAAAGAGCAGGAAATGGGGGAACGCCTTGACCTTTATGTGGGCGTTTCCTTTCCCAACTATTCCTATATCGTGATTCTCGACCGTCCTCAGTCCTGCAGAAGCGCAGATACCTCCAACTGAACCCGTTTATCCACCTCAACTCACCCACTCTCTCACCCACTTTCACTCCCCTACATCTTTCATCTTTATTCTGTCTCTCCAATCTTCACGGTGCCTGTGGGTGTTTAAACTTCGCTCTTTTTTCGGTTGCTCGTCGCCATAACGCTCATTACATATGCAAGCATCTCATTATCTCAATTCCACTCGAAGCTTTTCGATTGCCTGGAAACTAACTTTAACTCTTCATTGACTTTGTTCGTATCTCTGCTATCATTATCTAGTTGGACGGAAATTACAACACGCCGAGTTTTCACCAACGCACACGAGAGAAGATAAGATACTAGGTACAGCACGAAAACAACATCAGATATTTGGGGGCCTGAGGAGCTTTTGATCCATCAAATTCATTATTCCTCCACGCAATGAGGTTTTTCGATATACCAACGGCAATTGTGGCCGTGGCAATATTGGTGTCACCTTCTGAAGCCAAGTTGGGCCGTGGACTTTCCCATCTCGACATCTTGGAAAAACGCCATTCGCATAATAGAATTCATGCATCTCCAAGAGCAGAAGAACCTGGAAATTTGTTACAGAAGCGCACTACTTGCGCATTCCCAACGGATGCTGGATTGGTTGCTGTCACCCCCGATTCTATGAATGCGGGATGGGCAATGAGCCCTGATCAAGCTTGCATCCCAGGTTCATATTGTCCTTATGCTTGCCCCTCCCTGGGCCCAAGTGAATGGCACCAATGGAAATCCCAAAAGCCACCTCTTACACTTATCCATTATCCATGGT